TGGCCCCTTTCTATATACTTTCTTATAGTATTTTTGTTGGGTTTTGGAATCATTTTTCTGATTTCATAAAAAGAATTTAAAAACTTTCTTTGTGCTCTGGAAATGTTTAGGTGGTAAAATAATTATTTTTTCTGTCAAAGTTTTAAAGACTTCACTTGTGAAATTTGGTCCTGAAGTGTTTGTTTGTTTGTTTGTTTGTTCCCTTTTGATAATGTACTAAATTTTAGGTTTTAAATTTTATTTTATGAGGTTAATTTGACTTCATATTCTTTAAACACTCATTTCAATCAAGTGGGCAATGGTAAGAGAAAAAAAATAAATTAAAAAAATGCTAACTCATCAGCACTAAAATATATATGTAATCAGTATCCAACTTTGAATATGATATTTGAATATGATTTCCCTGTCATGAAACAATGTGTTACCTATAAAAAAAATTAAAAATATACAATGAAAACTCTAGCGGATATAATTAGAACACTCAAGTGTTCCTGGAACTAAAAAGTACTCTAGAAGTTAAAAAATTTTTTTCCCAACTTAAAAATTCAGTAGAAGGAATGGATTAAAAATGGTGGCAGAGTAAGTGGATGCGACATAGACATGATCCCATGATCAAACTGGAATTACAAGTAAAATGCAAAGAAACACACCCGGAATAATCAACTGAAGAATAGATGGAGAGAACCCTGATAACCAAGGATTAAAAGTGGAGACCACATAGAGACTTGTAGGAAGGGCAGAGGTGTGAAAGGGCTTCCACAGACTGCACCTGAAGTTCCAGAGATGTATCTCAGCTGTGGGGAGTTGCCACTGAGAACTCTGGGGTCTAATGTCCAAGCTGGGTTAACCAGCAGAGAGCATCAGAACTGAGAAAGGTGCCCACATAACAGTGGGCTGTGAAAAGCAGTAGGGTTGCTGTCTGTCAGAGAGAGACAGAAATGCATTCACCCTCTTAAAGGGCCAATGCTCAAAATTTCGAGTGCAGCCACTCACCTTGGGCTCCAGCAGAGGGAGGGCAGAATGGACTGGAGTTGTTTAAGCATAAACCAGGGTTGGGAGTTCTGGAGTTAGTGGTTGGAAGGCAGATACCCCAGTTTCCTGTGTTGAGTCATTCCCTCATGCTGTAGTGGTCATCTTTCTCAGACAGAGGTCTGCTATCCAGGCTATTTTTGCCTGAGGGGAAGACAGTTGCCCCATCCTATTGGAAAACCCCTTGCCCCACCCTGTGGAGTTTCTGAGGGCTGTTAAGAGACTGAGAATAACAATTAGCCTCCAGGCAGAAGCAATTGCCCCACCCTGTTGGAAAACTTCTTACCCCACCTGCGGACAATTACTTGAAGCAGTTCAAGACTGAGTCCAATCAGTCTATAGGCAGAGGCAGGTCTTTGGAGGCTTTGAGTCTTTGCCTGATCCAATTAGTAGGAAACAGTGTTTTGGTGCCTGCTGCAGGTACTTCCCCAGATGGTGCAGTGAAGCAAAAGCCAGCAGAACCCAAGCACCTGCAGCTGACACTCACAGCTGACACTTGCAGGTCAAGCTCCATGGGGGAAGGGAGTACAGCTCAAATAAGGACAATGAGACATGACTCAAGGCAGACTCAGCCTCTGGGCTAAGCTGTTCCTGACCACTGGAAGACGAGGGGCTTCAACCTCTTGCACTTCAATCAGGTTGCCCAGAGCCAGAAAGAGTGACTCATATTCACCTTCACATAGAGAAACTTCCAGGAGACACACCTGTTATACAGGTGCTTTGGGTCTGTTATTTGTGGGGCTTATTGGATTTTTCTCAGATTCAGAGAAAAATAACGGATTCAAGGCACCTGTATAATAGCTGGCATGATGACCTTGGGGTTGAACCTCATTTGCAGCAAGTAAGTCAGAGGGTCCCTCCCACAAACCAGAAATCAACAATCAAGTCCAAATTGCAACAGGAGAGCCCAAATAACACAAGGGGCATTCCTAGAGCATCCAGCTCAGGTGAACAAAGAGACTGCATCACTGGATCCCTCAATACACCTTCTACATAAGGTAGGGGTGTCGAACTCAATCAGAGAAGGGGCCAAAATCTAAAATCCAGCCTAAATTGCGGGCCGAATGGTTTACTGAACAGTCATAAACTGTCATTGTGATGGAAACGCAGCGGAGTGCAGTGATGACAGCGCAGTGCGGGCCACATTGCAAGGCCTGGTGGGACGGATTTGGCCCGTGGGCCTTGTGTTTGACACATGTGACATAAGGCCATCCCACAAAGACTGAGAGGCATAACAGTTCTATCTAATACATAGAGACACCTAAAATGGGGAGACAAAGAAACAACCCACTAATTAGAGAACAGAAGGAATCTCCAGAGAAAGAAATAAATGAAATGGAGGCAAGCAACATATCAGACATAGAGTTAGAAGCAATGGTTATAAAGATGCTTAAGGAACTTAGTACAAATTGCAACATTATGAAAAGGGAAATAAGAGGCCACGAATAAGAACCAGACAGAAATGAAGAATAATATATCTGACATCAAGAACACACAGGAAGGTATTAAAAGTAGACTGGATGAAGCAGAGGATTGAATCAGCAATTTGGAAGATGAGGTAGAAATAAATAGCCAATTAGAACAGCAAGTAGAAAAAAAAATTAAAAAGCAGGAAGATAGCTTAAGGGTGCTCTGAGATACTATGAAACAAGACACATCCACATTATAGGAATACCAGAAGGGGAAGAGGGTGAGCAAGGAACAGAGAACTTGTTTAAAGAAATAATGAAGGAAAACTTTGCTGATCTGGTAAAAAAAAAAAAGTCACACAAATTCAGGAGGCACAGAGTCCCAGTCAAGATGAACTCAAAGAGACTCACACTTAGACATATCATAATTAAAATAGCAAACATTAAAGACAAAGAAAGAATCCTAAGAGCAGCAAGTGGGAGACAGAAAATTACCTACAAAGGAGACCCCATTAGAATATCAGCTGACTTCTCAATTGAAACACTTCAGGTCATAAGGGAGTGGCATGAAATACTGAAAGTAATGAAAGCAAGAGCCTAAATTCAAGACTACTGAATCCACCAAGGCTATCATTTTAAATTGACGGTGAAATAAAAATCTTTCTAGATTAAAAAAAGGTTAAAGAAGTACATTACCACCAAACTAGCAATGCAAGAAATGTTAAAGGGACTGCTCTAAGAGGAAGAATAAAAGGAGAGAGATCATAGACATAAATAAAATAAAAAAGGCAATACATAAATACCTGTCAATAATAACTTTAAATGTAAATGGATTAAATGCTCTAGTTAAAAGATATAGGGTGGCTAAATGAATAAGAAAACATGACTCAAATATATGCTGTCTACAAGAGGCCCATCTCAGGTCTGGAGGGCTTTACAGGGGAGTTCTACCAAGCATTCAAAGAACTAAAACCTATCCTCCTCAGACTATTCCAAAAAATTCAAGAGGGAGGCACATGTCCAAGCTCTTTCTATGAAGCCAGCATTACTCTATTTGTTAAATTCCACATGTAAGTGAAATCATCTGGTATTTATCTTTCACTGTTTGACAGAGAGCAAACTGATGGTTGCCAGATAAAAGAGGGGGGTAGGGGTCTGAGTGAAAAACTTGAAGGGATTAAGAAGTACAGGTATACAGTTACAAGACAGTCATGGGGATGTAAAGTACAGCATAGTGAAAATAGTCAACAATATTGTAACAGCTATGTATGGTTACAGATGGATATCAGACTTACCAATGGGATCACTTCATAAATTATTGTATATGAATGTCTAACCACTATGCTATATACCTGAAAGTAATATCAAGTAATATTGAGTATCTGCAATTGAAGAAACGTTTTAAGACAGTAAATCATTTATTTCAAGTCTTGAGATCACCTTTGGTGTCCTTCAGTTTGGTTTCATGAGGATGTGGCTCGCCGGCCCTTTAGCTTCAGGAGCAGAAATACAACTCAGATCATGATGTTATCTTTAGCCTAACGAACCCCTATCTTGCATCCATTAGTCAAGAGATTCCCATTGTTCTTGTTGTGGGGTCGAATCCTGGATTCAGAATAAGACCACCAGAGGCTGATGATTAATTAAAAAAAGCAGGCAAAGAATTTATTGAAATAACTGGCCAGGACAGCCGTGAGAGCACCACACGCAGGTGGTCTCCACACGACTGCACCGTTTCAGAGGCAGGCAGTCCCTTTTAAAGGTTCAAACCACAGGAATTTTCCTTTGTTCTAAATTCTAAATCCTAAAGACTACATTCTAAAGACTGGGGTCAGCCCGCAGGGTTGTTGCTAGTCACATCCTGCTGGACATTGGAATGTGGCCCTATCTTGGAATAGCCTATAACATAGAAGCAGAGCTCAGAGGTCATCTGCAGTTTCTATCTCTGAAGGTTACTGAGTTAGTGGGAATTACTCTCCTGTGCTCCTGGTCCCAGGCAAGGGAAAATTGCCTTAGCCTCCAACTCTCCACCTGAAAGCTAAGGTAAATAGCTTTCTCCCCCCCCCCCCCACCCCCGCCCCCTGTTTAATCAGGTGCAAGAGCCAAACTAGAAGGGTTAAAATTCAAACAGCAGTTTTTACCAAAGTATGGTTGCCACTATATTTCAGTTATTGCTGCCTCAGGGGGCTAATAACTACGGTAAGTGCTTAACATTTACAAGGCATGCTGTAAAGAAACTGAATAGAATGCTGGGGCTACATATAAAATCACACATTAAATCAGGACCCTCTGTTTCCATTGCAGCTGTGTAAAAACAACTCAGGCCATAAATATTCATTTGAGATGCAGGAATAATGCACACTAAGGAAGTCCAAGCTGCGGTCCCAGCTCCACAGAAGCTGGACAAAGGTTGGGGTGCACGATCCCGCCGACTATTGGCAGAACGACCGCCAGGGGGCGCTCCAGACACACGATCCCGTCCCCGGGGACCCTCGGGCGGCGCACTCCCCAGGGCTCGCGCTAGCTGCTCCCGCCCGCCCGCCGCCAGGGGGCGGTGCAGGCCGCCGGCGCTCACTAGCTCCCGGAGCGGCGGCGCGGGCGGGCCGGCGGGCGGGCCTGCGGAGGGCATGGACCGCTTCGTGTGGACCAGCGGCCTGCTGGAGATCCACGAGACCCTGGTCATCCAGCAGCGCGGGGTGCGCATCTACGACGGCGAGGAGAAGGTAGGGCGGCGGCGCGGCCCGGCGGTTCTGGCCCTCCCCGGCCTCGGCGCGCAGCCCGCCGGCCTGCGGCCTCCCCCGCGCCGCCCCGCCCCGCCCGCTGCGCCCTGGCCCCGCCGCGGCCGGGCTCCGGCGGCCGCCCCCGGGCCCCCAGGTCGCCCTCAGAATGCGCAGCCCGCGCGCCGAGAGGGCGCCGCCGCCGCGGAGGGCCGGTCCCCGGCCGGTCCCCTCCGAGGCCGCGGGGTGACCGCCCCGCCCCGCCGGGCCGTCCCCCGGAGCGCCGCCCTGGCCTAAGAGGGCTCGGAAAGAAGCCTCACGGCCTCGTCCGGACGCCAAAAAGCTAAAGCTTTCTTTTAAAAGAAAATAGCTAGGAAGGGGCTTCGGCGTTCCTTGGGGCAGGGATGCGGTGTGGCGGCCGTGCCTTCACCCCGCACAGGCCCGGGCGGGTTTGCAGGCGGGGGAGGCGCGGCCGTCCTGCGGGGACTTCCTCTGCCGCCCGCTTCCCGCTGCCCTCGGAGCCTCCGCTCGGGGTGTGAGCCGGCGCAGCGAGCATTGAACGCCTCTGCGTGCCCGCGTCCCGGCCGCGCCTCCCCGGGTTCTGCAGGCGAAACTCCTGTGCCTTCTCCACCCTCCACGGCTCTGGCTCCGCGCCGCCTGCGGAGCCGCCCCGCCCCGGAGCGCGCGCCCCCCCTGCCCCCGGCGCCCCCCCCCCCCCTGCCCCAGGCGCCCCCTGCCCCCCAGCCCGGCCCTCCCCGCCCCGAGCCCCGCCCCCCACCCACATTCGAGCCAGTGATCCCATGCCTAGGATTATATCCCAAGAAATAGAAGCACCAATCAGAAAGAATATATGCACCCCTATGTTCATAGCAGCACAGTTTATAATAGCTAAGCTTTGGAAACAGCTTAAATGCCCATCAGCAGATGAGTGGATTAAAAACTGTGGTACATCTACATAATGGAATACTATGCTGCTATAAAAAAGAAGGAACTTTTAACATTTGCAACAACGTGGGTGGAACTGAAGAACATTATGCTAAGCGAAATAAGCCAGTCGGAGAAAGATAAATATCACATCTTACAGAACTAGAGGCCTTATTCATGAAATTTGTGCAAGTGTAGGCCCAGCTGCCTCGGGCCTCACGGCCTTGGCTGTGTCCGGATGGTTGTTCTGTTAGGCCGTTCGGTCGATTTGCATATTATGCTTTTATTACTATAGATAGGAAATTCCCTATGCTATACTTTATGTCCCATGACTATTTTGTAAGTACTGATTTGTACTTCTTAATCCCTTTACCCTATTTTTTCCATTGATTTTTAGAGGGAGTGAATGGGAGGGAGAATACGAGGGAGAGAGGAGAGAGAGAAACATTGATGTGAGAGACATATCAATCTGTTGCCTCCTCCATGAGCCCTGACCAGGGCTGGGGTCAAACCTGCAACCCAGATACTTTGGTGCGTGGGCTAAAGCTCTAGTCACTGAACCATACCGGCCAGGGCAATGCATTTAGCTGTTTTACCCTCCCCCTCTGCCCTCATCCCATCTGACAGCCATAAAAATATTCTCTGTATCTATGAGTCTATTTTTGTTTTGCTTGTTTGTTTGTTTGTTTATTTATTTATTTAGATTCCACATATTAGTGGAATCATGACATTTGCCTTTCTCTGTCTGACTTATTTTAATCATCATAATACCCTCTGGGTCCACCCATGTTGCAGATGGCAAGGTTTCATTTTTATTTTTTTTATGGCTGAATAATATTCTGTTATATATATGCACCACTTCTTTATCCATTTATCTATTGATGGGCACTAAGGTTGCTTCCATATCTTTGCTATTGTAAATAATACTGCAATGCACATGTGGATGTATATATATATTTTTTAAATATCTTATTGATTTTTTTTAACGAGTTTATTTTTTTTAAATATATTTTATTGATTTTTGTACAGAGAGATAAGAGAGTTAGAAACATCGATGAGAGAGAGTCATTAATCAGCTGCCTCTTGCACACCCACTACTGGGGATGTGCCCGCAACCAAGGTACATGCCCTTGACCGGAATGGAACCCGGGACCTTTCAGTCCCCAAGCCGACGCTCTATCCATTGAGCCAAACCGGTTTCGGCTATCTTATTAATTTTTTACAGAGAAGAAGAGAGAGGGACAGAGAGCTAGAAACATCGATGAGAGAGAATCATCGATCAGCTGCCTCTTGCACAACCCCCACCGGGGATGTGCCCACAACCAAGGTACATGCCCTTGACCGGAATCAAACCTGGGACCTTTCAGTCTGCAGGCCGATGCTCTATCCACTGAGCCAAACCGGTTTTGGCGCATATGTCTTTTGATTTAGTGTTTTGTGCTGCTTTGGATAAATACCCAAAAGTGAAATTGCTGAGTCCTTTTTGTCTCTTGTTTTAAAGTCTATTTTGTCTGGTAAAAATATTGCTCTCCTAGCTTTTTCTTTTTTCTTTTTCTCATTTCCATTTTCATGAAATATCTTCTTTCCTTTTCCCTTTACTTTCAGTCCGTTTTTAAAAAAATCTGAAATAAGTATCTTTTAGGCAGCATATGTAAGAGTCTTGATTTTATCTATTGAGACACTGTATATCTTTTGATTGGAGCATTTAATCAATTTACATTTAAAGTAATTTAAAAATATATATATATTTTATTGATTTTTAACAGAGAGGAAGGGAGAGAGATAGAGAGCTAGAAATGTCGATGAGAGAGAAACATCGACCAGCTGCCTCTTGCACACTCCCTACCGGAGATGTGCCCGAAACCAATGTACATGCCCTTGACCGGAATCGAACCTGGGATCTTTCAGTCCGCAGACCGATGCTCTACCACTGAGCCAAACCAGCTTCGGCAAAAGTAATTCTTGATAGATATTTTTTATTACTATTTTATTATTTCTATTTTTGATCATTTTTCTCCTTCTGGTGTCCCCATGATGACATGTTGGTATCTTTGATGTACTTATTTTTTTGTTTAGTTTGTTTTGTGAAGTTTTGTTCTTTCATTTGGGACATGTTTGTCTTCTCACTTTGCCTGCCGTCCTGTGTTTTTCTATGTCGGTACAGCTGCCACTCCTCCCTGTCTTGGTGCAGTTGCTCTATGTAGTAGGTGTCCTGTAGGGCCCAGTGGCACAGTGCCTCCAGTCACTCAAACTGGGTTTTCCAGGCACACAGTCCCCTCTCACCACCCCATTTGGTCTCTGTGCACCCTCCTGTTGTAGTTGAGCCTTGATTGCTGTTGACACATCACTGGGAGGGACTGGCCCCCAGGCAGATAGGCTGTAAGGACCGGCCATAACTATAGTGCAGAGGCTGACTTCATGGAGCAGAACTTGCTTCAGTGGGGCTTTGGTGCCTGCCCCTTGAGTCACTCATGGAGGTGGTTGGATGGTCCTCTGGTGAGATCTGAAGCTGTCCCCTGGTGTGCTTGCTCTGGGGCCTCCCAGGAGGTGCAGGCCAAGCTCAGCTGCTGCCCATGCCCTGCCCAGGACCACCCAATGAGCTACAAAGTGGTTTGCAGATGATTGCCACTATGGTGAGCGTGGAGGTGCCCGGGAGACACTAAGCTTCAAATTGAGGCTGGCTGCCCTGGTGCTGGGTTTCGGACTGTTCACTGTAGCTAGAGGTCTGTGACATGGTGAGGCCAGGCCATGCTGTTAAATGCTTGGGAGGGCCTGAATGTTGGGTGGGTCTCAGGGAATCACTAGGCCTGGGAAACCGTGTTAGCCAGGTTAACGGAGACTCAGATATGGCACCCTTCTGTGCTACAGTGGGAGGGCTCAGCAAAGGAACAATGCCTGTTCCGCATGCACTTTCGTCTGGGAGAAAGCTGCCCCTCTAGCCCTTGCCCTGAAGCCTGATGATTCACCTCCTCCCCATACATCCTGGCACCTTTCAAGCTGCCACCCAGTGCTGCAGCTCAGAGTGAGTCGGTCAGCGAGTAAGTCTGTGTGGGCCCTTTAAGAGGAACTCCTGGGCCTCCAGCAGCCCTAATCGCACTCAGCCACAATCCCTGCTGGTTTTCACACAAGTTGTGGGGACTTCTTTTCCCAGCACTGGAACCATGGGCTGGGAGGCCTGTGTGGGGCTGGGACCCCTTGCTCTTCAGGGGACCTCCCCCTCTCTCACAGCCAATATATCCCTTCTGATTTTTAGCCAACACACGTGGGTGTGAGACCAGCATTGTCTGCCTCTCTAGCCTTCTTACCAGTCTGGATGTTGCTTCTTCTGTATATCCTTAGCTTTAGAACTTCTGTTCAGCTAGACTTCAGGCAGATATCAATGATGATTATTCTATAGTTTATTTGTAATTTTGATGTGGTTATGAGAAGGTACAAGTATGGTGTTTGTAGCTCTGCCATCTTGACAAGAAGCTCTGTATTCTAGTTTAAAAAAAACATTTTTACATTTACCGTATTTTTCGGACCATAAGACGCACTTTTTCCCCCCCAGAAGTGGGGGAAAAAGTCCCTGCGTCTTATGGTCCAAATATAGCCTACACATATACTTTAAAAAAAAAGTTTTTTTACTTGCCCGGCTCTGTGTGGTCTCTGTGTGCTTGCCCGGCTCTAAAATGGTTCTAAATGCTGCTGTTTACTTTACAGGGTTGATTACATGTGTTTATGACTGTGATGTTGGGTTTTAATGCAGATAAAATATTTTAGGACACTATTTGTTTCAGAATCTTTTTTTCTTCATTTCCCTTCTCTAAAAACTGGTGCGTCTTATGGTCCGGAGCGTCTTATGGTCCGAAAAATACGGTATATTTTGAGTATATGACAAAATTTTCATGATAAAAATTAAAAACGCACAACAAGTATAAAGTAAATGTCTCCCTCCTACCCTTTGGCATCCAATTCCCCAATAGAGGCCACCAATGCACATTCTAGAGAGCTGTGCATACATAGGTATTTATATGTGAAATACATAGGTATTTGTATTTTTTTTTTAAGAATTATATTTTATTGATTTTTTACAGAGAGGAAGGGAGAATGATAGAGAGCAAGAAACATCGACCAGCTGCCTCCTACACACCTCTCGCAGGGGATGTGCCCACAACCAAGGTACATGCCCTTGACCAGAATCGAACCCGGAACCCTTCAGTCCGCAGGCCGACGCTCTGTCCACTGAGCCAAACCAGTCTCGGCGGTATTTGTATTTTTGACACATATTAATACACTGCCCTCCTTGAAGGTTAGCTTCCCAGCTATGTGTGTAAATGCTTATTTCCCCAACAATTCACCAACACAATATTATCAAACTTTTGGGTCTCCGCCAATCTCATGGATGAAAGGGGTATCTTGATATTGCCTTAATTTGCCTTTTTCTTATCAATGAGGTTGGGCATTTTTATGTACTTACTGTATTTTAAAGTTTCTAAGATGCCATTGATTATAAGATGCATACTTATTAAAATGTGTATGTATAAGGGTTGTGCATTTAAAATTGATGAAATATGGTAAATTCTATTAATGTGTTATTTTTAGTTCCTTTTTTGTGGACTTCCTGTTAATAGCCTTAGCCTGTACTCTTGTATTTTATATTTTAAGAAAATTAGCCCTTTGTCTCTGATAGAAGTTACAATTATTTTTCCCAGTCTGCTAACTTTGCCCTGGGTGGTTTTTTGCCATGAAGAATTTGTGTGCATAGATGTTTGTATAGTTGAATTTATCGATCTTTTCCTCTAATGCTAATTAGTTTAGTGTTTTTCTTAGAAAGACGTTCTCTACTCTGAGATTATTTTTAAAATTCTCTCATGATTTTTTGGTATTGCTTTTATAATTTTTTTTTTAAACTCAGATATCTGATCCATCCTGAACTTATTTTGGTGCAGTATGTTCAGTATAAATCCAACGTTATGTTTGTTGTTTTTTCCTACTGGGCAACTCGCTTGTCGCAGTGTCACTGGCTGAATCTGTGTTTGTGTCTCTTTCTGGATTTTCTTAGTATTTAAAAATTATTTCTAAAGATTATATGAATGTTATACATGAATCCAATCTCATGAAAAAATTCAATCAATAGTGAAGTTTTATAAAAGGGCCCTTTGCTTCTCCCTACTCCTTCATACTTTTTCTAAGTTAATCATTGTTAATAGACTGCCAAGTACTCCTTGTAGAACTTTTTCTACTACTTATATGTACATATCTGTAGTTTGAGGGATGTGAAGATTATGTCTGTCTGTCTGTCTATCTGTCTATCTATCTATCTATCTATCTATCATCTATCATCTGCTGTAATATGCTGTAAATTGCTTTTTAACCTATTAACTCTATGTCTTAAGAGTTCCATGGCAGTCTGTGAAATTCTACCTCATTATTTTTACTCTCTGTATGGAGTCCATGGTATGAATATTTCATAGTTGATTTAACCACTTCCTTATTGTTGCACATCAAGGTGGTTTGCAAATTTTTCCTAATTTTAGCAAGGCTGTATATATAGCTTATAAACTGTAGCATTGCTTCTCTTTAATTTGTAATAAACCAAATTCTAAAATATTTATGTGTGAAAAACTTACTATTGTAAAATTTGTGAGGAAGAAAACCTGGACCACCTTGAGTGATATATTATTAATATTCTGTGATGATCTTGTCTTTCTAGATAAAATTTGATGCTGGGACCCTCCTTCTCAGTACACATCGTCTAATTTGGAGAGATCAGAGAAATCATGTAAGATACAGTTTTTTACATCTGTTCTAGGTTTTAAATCACTGAAGTTCTTCTTCTTTTTCTTCCTTTCTTGAAAACTTTAAATAGATGAGGCAAATTTTTAATTTCAGAAAGTTATTAGAGTATGTGTGTCCCCTACGATCTGTCTGAATGGAGTGCACATAGAGGGGGTATAATGTTGTCCCTCATTCAGCTCCCGAAAAGTCTGTAGTTACTGAATAGAGAATCATGATGACTCCTGTTTTTAAAATACCAGTCAGATCCTACCTCATACCTGAATGTTCCATGTGTGGCAGAAATAATGCACTTTTTTCAGAATCCTTAAAAAACTTCATTCATCCTCAAAACAATCCAGCCTCCTGATTGCTGTTGAGAATCAGGAGGATGGTTCTGTTGGGAAGTGCATGCCTTTACCCAGATATTGAGAAAAAGCCTCTAAGTCACTCAGCAAGAGGAGAAACCCCTGTTTCTTCATTTCTAGGAAGGGAGAACAAGTTATGCGTATAGAGCTGATGTGTTTATTCAAAGAACTTGAAAGTATTTGTGTTTATGAATAAATTTCAGCGTTGCCAGTACAATAAACAATCTCTTCTACATTATTTTTAGAATTGCTGTCTCCCCATAAAATTTTAATTCCACAGGTAAACTGTATACTGTACTGAGATTCTGAAAGGTCACTAACCATTGTAGAATACAGGATTCTTTTTGGTCCCCAAGAACCAGTTTTGTCCTCTTAGTGGTGATATTTCTGTTGTTGATAATGCATGCCTTAGAATTGTTAATGTTTTCTAACTAATTTAAAAGAAATATGCATTCAGAAAATATTTTTTTTGGAGGGATAGGTGCCTTTAAAACCAGATGTTTATAAGTTAATCTTAGTATGATTTTTTAATTATCATATAAAGAGACAAATTTAGAAATCCTTAAATCAGCCATTGAATGCCATTCATTTATAATAATTAAAAATTAAATTTATTAATAAAGGGAAGCTATATTAATATTTTCTGTTTAAAATTTTGGGTGGGTGAATGAACCATAGGAAATTATAAGGAAGAAAAATGAATAACACTCTTTAGAGTTGTTTTGATTTACCTGTTCTATTTTTTGTTTTCCATATAAGAATATATTATAGCCTGCCTCTGGTGTGGCTCAGTGATTGAGCATCAACCCATGAACCAAGAGTCGCTGATTCCCAGTCAGGACACATGCCTGGGTTGTGGGCTCGATCCCCAGTGGAGGGCGTGCAGGAGACAGCTGATCAAGGATGTGTCTGTCTCATTGGTGTTTCTTTCACTCTATCCCTATCCCTTCCTCTCTTGAATCAATGAAAACATATTTAAAAAAAGAATATAGTATATGTAAAAAGTTGCATATAAATATTACTTTTTAAAAGATGTACCTACTGTAAAAACAAAGGTAATTATAGCTGTTTGTAAATCTCATGTTTTTTCACATAGTAAAATGCATTTATTCCTTAAGTTTATTTAAGGAATAAAGTAACATAACTATTTATTGTGTTTATTATTAAGTACCTTAAAGGTATTTGACATTCTATTAAATACTATAAAACAAGGATTTCTGACTAGTCTTATGAGTCATATTTTCTATTGATTTCCTCCTAGGAATGCTGCATGGCTATTCCTCTTTCTCAAATTGTGTTCATTGAAGAACAGGCGGCTGGAATTGGGAAAAGGTAAGGTCTATAAATTATAGTTTTTATTCACAAAATACATTTCCATTTAAGCTGTTATCATTAATTTAGTTAATTTACTGCTGTGCCATGACTACATGGGGACATGGATCTAATGATTGTATTTGGGGGTTTGATAAATAATTGTCCTTGATCATCCTACCTTAAGCTCATTGATAAATGGAAGTCATTCTTAAAGCATGAATCAAGTACTAAGGTTTGCTATGATATCCTTGGGTTATAATAAATAAATGTGGCCCAGTTGTCATTGTATATATTTCCACAGACATTTACTTTTAAATGGCTATGTATCTTATTTAGTACTTGACATCAGAAATGAAGAAAGGAACTGACTTTGCTCCTATTTCTAGTTGATCACTAAGTTTCTCACTTATATTTTTGTTATATCAGTTATGGTATCATAATAGTTATTGTCCAAATTGGGACATTTATAAGTAATGAGAGTGCTGTTTATAATTGGACCAGATCAGCATAAAATGGGACTGTCCCAGGAAAATCAGGAGATGTGGCTTCCCTGGTAAAAGCCACAGGATAAAGTGTTTCTGTTTATTCAAGTACTAGTGGCCTGGTGTACAAAATTCGTGCACAGAGTGGGGGATCCCTTAGCCTGGCCTGTGCCCTCTCATAATCTGGGACCGCGGGCACCTAACTGCTCACCTGCCTGCCTGCCTGATTGCCCTTAACCACTCTGCCTGTCTGCCTGATGCCCTTAACAGCTCCCTGCCTGCCTGATTGCCCCTAACCAACTCTGCCTGCCAGCCTGGTCACCCCAACTGCTCTCCCCTGCTGGCCTGGTTGCCCCCAAATGCCCTCTACTGGCCTGGTCATTCCCAACAGCCCTTCCCTGTCGTCCTGATTGCCCCAACTGCCCTCCCCTTCCAGCCTGATTGCCCCCCAACTGCCTTCCCCTGCTGGCCTGGTCACCCTTAACCTCTGCCTCGGCCCCCAACACCATGGCTTTGTCCGATTGGATGTCCAGAAGATGTCTGGTCTAATTAGCATATTACCCTTTTATTAGTATAGATATATAGAATTCTAGCTTTAGAGTTTAAGTGTATGTAATTGAGGTCAACTTAAACAGATATTGAGGAATTTGTTTTCCATATGGGCCCATTTTTAGCTTTAGTATCCTATCTAATAAAAGAGCAATATGCAAATTAACCATCACTCTAAGACACAAGATAGCCACCCCCATGTGATCAAAGATGGCTGCCACAGAATGGCCTGCAGGGGAGGGCAGTTGGGAGAGGACCAGTCCCGATTTTTAACAATTTCAAATAGGTTTTCAATTTCTTGCTCTTTCTCTTCTCCTTCTGGCACCCCCATGATATGAATGTCGGTATACTTGAAGTTGTCCCAGAGGCTCCTTACACTATCATCATGTGTTTGGATTCTGTTTTCTTTTTGTTTTTCTGATTGGGTGGTTTTTTGCGTCCTTATATTCCAAATTGCTGATTTGATTCTTGGCTTTGTCTACTCTACTATTGAGTCCCTGTAAATTATTCTTCATTACAGTTAGTGTATCTTTCATTTCTGACTGGCTTTTTTTATGGTTTCCATGCCCTTTTTTATGCTATTGAAGTTCTCTATAATTTCAACTAGTCTTTCCCTAAATTTATTGAACATCCTTATAACCATTGCTTTGAACTCTGTATCTGGTACTTTACTTGCTTTTAGTTCTTTTTCTGGAAAATTCTTCTGATCTTTCACTTGGGACATGTTTCTTTGTCTTCTCATTTTGGCATCCTCCCTGTGTTTGTTTCTGTGTATTAGGTAGAGCTGCTATGTCTCTGAGGCTTGGTAGAGTGTCCTGTAGGGTCCAGCAGCACAGCCTCTCTGTTCACCTGAGCTGGGCCCTCCCGTTGTGTCCCCTACGCCTGATGGGATATTTGCATCCTCCTGTTGTAGTTGACCCTTGATTGCTGCTGGCACATCAATGGGAGGGATTTATCCTTCAGGCCAATCTGCTGCAAGGACTGGCTGTGACCATGACCACTGGGAAGGATTCCATACATAAGTTTTCATATTTTGTTTTCAAATAAGTAAGGTACTATGGTTAGGCAGAAATTATTGGCCCTGAGGTTACCCCTGGAGATGACTCTGTAGATGGACAACCATAATCATAAACCAATATCATAAACCACCATAAATTTTGCAAATTTATTTTGAACTTATTTCCTGAAACCACATTATATTTAATTTACAGATCTAATAACTTTAACTTTTTTGCGCATAGCTTGCAAGTTTTAAGTAGAGATATTTTTGAAAGGTTCCTTAATACTGACTGAATTAATACAAACTTGAAAGGATAATCTTTGTTTCTATGTGAATTTTAAGTGACCTGAAATATATTAAAAGTTATAAAAATAGAATAAGTGATTTTTAAAAGCAATTTAATACATTACATTTGCTTTTTCTTTAGTGCTAAAATAGTGGTTCATCTTCACCCAGCTCCTCCTAACAAAGAGCTTGGTCCATTACAGAGCAGTAAGAACTCCTACATTAAACTCTCCTTCAAAGAACATGGCCAGATTGAGGTAAGTGTATGAATACAATTGGGCCATAAATGTGTGCTTGCATATATTTTTGTTGTTTGCTGATACGATGGAAGGCAGTATTGTTTCCATATTGTTAATGTGATTTAAGCAACATACTAGGTTTCACCACATGTTTGATAGCTTATGTCTTATCAGTAAAGAATCTGAAGTTTAGGTGACAGTGGGAACAGGAAGCAGGCGTGTGTGGAAAGAGTGGAGGCTGGCATGCCATTAGCTACCAGTAAAGTTTTCAGTGGTATCTGTAGTCCGGTTGAAGGCAGTTTATTAACTTCAACAAATAATCACTTGAGTGGTTCATTTTTTACATATAAGCACTGGTCCCTTTCCATTTCTGAGCTTTTCTGTTCCTGTGCCAATACCATATTGCACAATGTCATCATCCCTATAGCTTCAGAATTATGCGATTTTAAATTTCTCCACATTAATAATCTCTTAAAATCTCAAAGGGATAAGTCTACTTTGCTTCTATTTTTTGTTAGTGTCCTGTCTGTTATTATTAGCCCTTTGTTCTTACATATGAATTTTAGAATATAGTTTATTTGTTCTGATTAATAAATTGCTGTATAAATATTTTTAGACATTTATAAGTGTGTTTTTATCTTCCCATTGATGTAATAACTTATTTATATTCTTTTTCAATGGCTTTACACCCAGTGCTCTTCACAACAATAGGCACTAAGTAAATACAAGTCACTAACTGAAGTCAATCTCACTGTAGGTGAAAAATATAGTTGATTTTTTGTGAGCAGAGGCACGTTTTGGCTCCAATTTCTGACTACACATTTTAACTAGACAAATTATTTTTAGTTTTCTTCATGGATATGGTTGTATATTTTTCTTGGCGCTGTGTCTGTTTCACTGTAAGTTGAAAACAGTCCACATAGGCAGAATTGTTTAAAGTAAATCTATTTATTTCATTGTCACTCATCTCTTTGTTGAAATAGCTCGCTTTATATAGAGGGTCAGTTCCTTCTTTTTTTTCTTTTTTCTTTCTGAAGTTGATCCAAGAAAAGAACTTCCTTTGATTTTCTTTGATGTGTCAGAATTCTAGGCTTGTTGCAAATGATTGACTAGACCTTTCAACTAAAGAAATGTTAGTTAATTCAATGAGGATGCCACAACCTGAATGACTCATTTAAAGTTTATCTATGTGTATAACAGTTTTACAGGCGTTTATCAGAGGAAATGACACAGAGAAGATGGGAGAACATGCCAGTTTCCCAGTCATTCCAAACAAATAGAGGACCACAGGTATTTTTAAAACTTTCTTGATCTAGTGTTTTCAGCTCTGTACTTGCATCTTCATTAAGTAATGAGATATCTGTGATTATAGAACTTTCCAGAAACAAAATAATGATATTTGATTAAAAATTTATTTTCTTAGAACCTAACTTAGTGCTCTTAGAAAGGAAACACTTAGTACAAGTTAATTACTAATTACCAGAGTAATTCCTGGAGTGGTAGAAGTTAGATTACACTGACTTCATCCTGTTGTTCATAATCCGTGTGGCATCTAAGAGAACTGACAATAAATACTACTGGTGACATATTCCAGGCCAGTCTAAATTAACCACCAACTGTGGGCAGATGCTCATATCGGTAAAAGCAGTTTGTACAATAACTATCAAGTACCAAAACTTTAACTATTTTTTGAGACCCTATTAAGTATCTGATACAAATATAATAGGTTGACAAAGAACAAAAATGGATAGGAAATTTAATTTATGTATGAAGTGAAGAGTAAAATATGCCATTTATTGTATCTTCGGTGTTTCTTTGGAACGATTTGAAGATTGTCATATACGGCAAGAAACTGACCAATGTTTTGAAAGGAAACTAGATGTAGTTGTATGCTGTTTTTCTTTGGTTCTTTGTGGTCCTTTCCTGTCATTGAAAACACAGTGGGGTGGGTCACAAAAGAGTGTGTCCTTCCTTTTTTGTGTATTTTACGTTCTACTTTTGATTTTCAGCCAGGAAGAATAAGGGCTGTAGGAATTGTGGGCATCGAAAGGAAACTGGAAGAAAAAAGAAAAGAAACTGACAAAAACATTTCTGAGGTAACTTACAGAAGTTCCGGTCATCTGTCTTTTTCAGCCATTTGTGTTTATTCTTTTGGATAAAACCGACTAATTCCATTCTGTATATTGGAATATTTAGTTTGCCTGTAGCAACACAGTATCTTATTCCATTTAACAGGTCCACTTCAGGTTGGCAAAATTTAGCCAAAATGTGTTTTGAAAACTTTTTTGAAAAAGGAATAACAAAGAAATGCAAATTTGATTTTTGTGATGTTAAAAAATATCATGGTAAATATGCTAAGTGAAATAAGCCAGTCAGAGAAAGATAAATATCACATGATCTCACTCATTTATGGAATATAATGAACAACATAAACTGATGAACAAAAACAGATCCAGAGACAGAGAAGTATCGATCAGACCGTCAAACCTCAGAGGGAAAATAGGGGAGGGTGGGGATAAGGGGGAGAGATCAACCAAAGGACTTGAATGCATGAATATAGGCATAACCTTTGGACACAGATACTAGGGGGAGGGGAGTGAGGGCATGAGTGGAGGATTGGGGAGGGCAATGGGGCCATAAGGACACATAAGTAATACTTTAATCAACAAAGAAAAGGAAAAAAAAGAAAATACATGGAATATTGTGTGTAAATTTTAAAATCTAGATGAAATCTATTGGCAGATACTCTTCATGAATTCAAGGTCCACTATATAATTATTTTGGTTAACTTAATTGAGGGGAAAACGCTATTTTGTGGCCCTTAACCCTGGTCAGACTGCACATAATATAATGCTGATAACTACTCAGGGACCAGACACAGAGACAGTCAGGAATGCATCAAACCAGCCCGTCATCTAGGAGAACAACCTGAGTATTACGTTAGATGTTTCTGAAGCTTTATATGAGGAAATTCAAGTAAAGGGAACAGAGCTATGGTCAAGAAAACTAGTTATGCATCCAGAGGCTTATTTAGACTCATGTTTGATCCTTTTGGTAAGAGTAGAGGTCTGCATTCTTTCATCAGGGGGCACATCATGTCTCTTTTTTAAAAAATACATTTTATTGATTTCAGAGAATATGGGAGAGGGAGAAAGATAGAAACATCAATGATTAGAGAATGATTGATCAGCTGCCTCCTGGCACATTCTGGTCATTTCACGATCAAAGTGTAGTTCAAATTGACTATTTGTTGTCGGTAGTGATCATTATTAACAATTTCACCTGATTTTAGAAGCTCATAATACACCACACCTTCCTGATCCCACCAAACCCAAAGCATTGTCTTCCTTCCGAAGTGATTTGGCCTTGCAGTCCATGTTGATGGTTGACTTGGATCAACCCATGATTTTGTGCGTTTGGTATTCTCAAAGTAAATCCACTTTTTATCGCCAGTCACAATTCGATGCAAAAAAGGCTTTCTTTCATACTGTTGAAGCAACATTTTACTGATAACTTCTCGGTTTTCCATTTGTCTTTTGTTCAGTTGATGTGGCACCCATTTTCCTTCCTTTAAAATCTTTCCCATTGCATGTAAACAATCGGAAATTATTAGCTGAGTAATGTTTAATCTTGTGCAAATTTCTGAGTTTGGCATGCATCTTCATCCAATAATGCTTGTAATTGTTGGTCTTCAAACTTTTGGTTGACCTGGATGTTCTTTGTCTTCCACGTTGAAATCATCACTTTTAAAGCATTTAAACCAATGTTAACAAGTGTCTTGAGATGGAGCATGTTCACTATAAGCTTCCTGAAGTATACAATAACTTTTTCTTCAAAATAATGAATTAACTCTTCCCACAAATGTTCTTTATTTGGAATGAAATGCGACATTTTTAAGTGTAAAAATATCTATGATAACACCTTCAGCAAAGTTGACATATGACGTTTTGAAGCTTGCTGTCAATACAACAAAATAGCATACATATCAAATCGCATATATATCAATGTATGTGTAACTCCATCTATTGAAAAAAATCTGCATTATTAACTGGTACATCTAGAACATTTCAATCTTATCTGTGAACAAGTCTTTCTGGCATGCTTTCAATGCCTGTAATGTTATTCTCATTTTTTTTCCTTTTAATTTTGTGTGGGATTTGACCTTGATACTTTGCTACTGCTCATCTTCATGTGAAATTTGTTTTCCTGAACTTTTATTTTTATTTATTTATTTTTTTAAAGTATATTTTATTGATTTTTTACAGAGAGGAAGAGAGAGGGATAGAGAGAGTTAGAAACATCGATGAGAGAGAGTCATCGATCAGCTGCCTCTTGCACACCCCCTACTAGGGATATGCCTGCAACCAAGGTACATGCCCTTGACCGGAATCGAACCCTGGACCTTTCAGTCCGCAGACCGACTGTCTATCACTGAGCCAAACTGGTTTCGGCTGTTTTCCTGAACTTTAGAGCAAGAGCTAATTCAGGGTAGCTCTTCTCACTCCACAGAGCTCACTCTCCTGCTGTGTTCATACAGTGATAAAAAGTTGGTGGCTGCTTTCTGTGATTTCCTGGCCCTGTTTCCATCCTATTTTTATCTGAACCTTTTTTCTCTTTCTCTCTGTTATCTCTACCTTGCTGAATTTTTATTCCTTTCTCAATCATTTCTCCCCAGTGTGGGATCCTGTCCTGGAAGCCTGAAGGGCCAGCTTCCTGAGTTCATAGGCTGTCAGCCATTCCTGAGGACCTCGGTACCACTCAGCATTGAAGGGGGCAAAGCCCTTCCAGTGTGTTACTGTCCTCAGGGTGGCTCGTCTCCCTTTCCCGAGACAGCTGCGGCATCTTTTGGAGTTCTATTATTTTAGATCTAACACATGTGTCAAACATAAGGCCCGTGGGCCAAATCCGTCCCGCCAGGCCTTGCAATGTGGCCCGCACTGCGCTGTCATCACTGCACTCCGCTGCGTTTCCATCACAATGACAGTTTATGACTGTTCAGTAAACCATTCGGCCCGAGATTTAGGCTGGATTTTAGATTTTGGCCCCTTCTCTGATTGAGTTCGACACCCCTAATCTATCAGTTGCCCTAGTGCCTTCCTTTTCTCTCTGCTATCTAGATGCAGGTCTTGTAACTCTTGGTGTTTTTGTGGATATCTTGTCACTTAGTTTTGTAGTGTATGTTGTCTGTGGTTTTGAAATATTGTTGCCCTGTCTATTTTTATGTTAGGAATTGGAGAGATTAAAAATCTATACTGCTGTAGCCACAATCTTCCTGGAATCTTTTATTCCCATAAAATTCCAGCATTTTTGCAGTAGAGGGCTCTGACAAACCAGAGAAGTGATCATTTCAGAGCTAGTGACTAGATTTGAAACCAGCGTTAGGAGAACTCAGGTCTTTTGATTTGCAGGCAAGTGTAGTCCACTACATCATGGCCATTCTCTTTGCCACCCAAAAGGTGCTATCGCTTTTGAGTGGCAATGAGAAGTCCTTTTTCAGTGACTTTTATTGTCATCTCTTTTGTGTGACACTTTTGGAGATGGCATCAAGCATTGAATTAAATTTGCATTATTAGTGATCATTTTTCTGAATGCTGCCATACTGCTTTAGTGTTTAAAATATTGTTATTCTTAATTTATGAAATGTTACCGTTTCAATCTAATTTTCACAGTTACATTACTTAGAGTATGTAGCAAGCATGTGCTAGTCAGTAGATAGTCCCTAGTCTCTCCTCTGTGTGAGCTCCGCATCAGATGTTGTGGGTATTGCAGTAATGTGCCAGGTAGGAAGGCAGACTGGCTTTCTCTCCATGTGAGAAATGTCATGTGAGAAGAAAATGGTGGCTGCAACAGGAAGACATAACGGGCCCTCTTCTGTTGGAGTTAGGGAAGGCTTGTTAGCAGAAGTAATGTAAATTAAGGCCTGAAAGTTTAGCAGATGATCAGTAGGGATAAGAGGATCCAGGTAGAGAGAATGGAATATGAAAGGGTACAGAATCAAGAATATTGAAACAGAAAATTAAGGAATATATTGCAGTTACTGAAACTAATAACCAAAGTAATGATTGAAAATCTGTAAGAAGTAATGCTACAAATTGGCTTAAGAGAGTACCTTCAGGCTTTAAGGCAGATGCCATATTTTTTCAAAATTGGAATGGAAATTTGATATGGACATGGTAGGTTCTATAAACTGTGGATGGAAAAATAGAAGGAACACATGTATCTATTTTGCATTTTTACCTATATTGCTTAAGTTTATGGTAGGTATTTTCTCCACCCATTTATTTGGGTAGTTGGCTAATTTCAAATTTTAGAATAATAGAAATACAAATGAGGAAGCTTTTGTTTGTGTTTTATAATTATTGAAATTTCATAGGAAATTCTTCCATAAATATAAAATATTTATATTTGTATTTTATGAACCATAGAAATAAGGGCCAATCTAACAATACATATACTGTGTGCACTCACTATTCTAGCATTTTAAATGAAAATATAATAAATAAAGTGATTTGCCTTAAAAATTTAAAAGTATTGTCATCCTAGTTTCCTTTAAACTTCTTTTAACATTCAAAACAAAAATCTAGGTATGTGAAGTGTTAGTGTGTTTTACTTTTGAACACTGGGTTGGTGTGTGATTTGCCCTCCATTTCAACGTTAGAATTGACTGAGTTTCAGCTGGTGCCCACAGTTTCCCACAGAAGGTTTCCTGCATCTGCTGGCTGTTGCTGATAAGAATCCAGTGTTTAAGCCTTTTGTTTATCTGAGGAAATTCCTGTTAGGTGTGTGCACATTCCCCTTTGTTTTCGGTATTAGCTTTAGTGAACTGGCCATAAGAATCCTACACACTTATTTTAGCAAAGTCCTTTTGCAGATGGGGGATGCTTTCCTGCAAATAATTAACATGGGAATGAGCTAATCAGAACCTATTGATTACTGTTGTATGTGAACCAGAAGATTTTCAAATAATGATATATTGCTTAATTGGTTTTTAAAATACTGTAGACAGTATTCTACACTGGAAGTATAATTTTGGTAATTTGAAACATTTGTTATAAATATGTCTGGTTAAATTTGAAGAGACCTTTGAAGTGGATATTCATTGTAGTAAATTAAACAATTAAATTTTTTAATTTAGATATGTTTTTGTGATATTTGAATGTTTTACTTTTGTGATATTTACTATGTCCAAATCACAGGTATAATATGTTTAGTATTCAGAGGCTGAGATTTATGGTTTCAGTTAAATCACACCTGCTATTAAAGCCAAAATTGTTGTGCCCAAAGTATTCCTACAGCTGCATATTGTCGTTTTCAACCAGGAAAGCTTCACAATGCCTCTTATCAGGAAATGGTTTTGGGAAAAGCTAGTGACAAATTTTCTTATTTGTGTTAAAGAACAGTTAATAATATTTTCTGAACTATCACTAATGTCACCCTTTGTTTTTGGTTTTTTTTTTATATTTTATTGATTTTCCACAGAGTGGAAGGGAGAGGGATAGAGAGCTAGAAATGTCAATGAGAGAGAAACATTGACCAGCTGCCTCCTGCACACCCCCTATTGTGGATGTGCCCGCAACCAATGTATATGCCCTTGACCGGAATCGAACCTGGGACCCTTCAGTCCGAAGACCAACGCTCTATCCACTGAGCCAAACCGGTTTCAGCACCCTTTGTTTTTTAATCACCTTTTAACTCTTTGGGGAAGATTTGAAAAGTTGTTTTTGCAAGTTTAGGAAAATTTATGGTTTCTTAGCTAATCTGATTTAGAATAAGGTAGATTTATCAGTTGTATAAATATTTATATAAAAATTGAAGAAAATTGTATATATTTTTATCATAGGAAAGAAAATAGAGTGCTTAATTGCTTTAAAACATTTTGATTCTTTAGACTAGGGGTGTCGAACTCAATCAGAGAAGGGGCCAAAATCTAAAATCCAGCCTAAATTGCGGGCCGAATGGTTTACTGAACAGTCATAAACTGTCATTGTGATGGAAACGCAGCGGAGTGCAGTGATGACAGCGCGGTGCGGGCCACATTGCAAGGCCTGGCGGGACGGATTTGGCCCGCGGGCCTTGTGTTTGACACATGTGCTTTAGACAGATTCCAACAAAACTAATTTCTCATTTCAGGCCTTTGAAGACCTCAGCAAGCTAATGGTCAAGGTATGTCATTTATACCTATGTAATTCACACCAATTATGATACAGTTTTGAAAATATATTTTGTTAGCAGACTCTTGGGAGACAGTTATTTCTTTTCACTTTACTGTGCTCTTGACAGGCTAAAGAAATGGTGGAGTTATCGAAGTCAATTGCTAATAAGATTAAAGACAAGCAAGGAGACATCACGGAAGATGAGGTAAACAGGCTGCTTTTTAAGGAGGAACTACAGAAATGATGCAGCGATGTTTCAGTAGCTTACTAGATTGCTTTTTTAATGTAGTGTTTTATTTCTTTTAGAACTTGAAGGACACATGAAAGTGCTAAAAAAAGTCAACCATAAAAATTTTAGTGGGATTATAAGATATTTCAGTAGCTTTTCTTACAGTGTATAAGATATATTGAAATATGTAAGGAGTGCCTATTTTACAATATATATAATAAGTTTCATGTTGTTTCATGAAATTTGTCTATAATCTGATTAACCCATTATTAATTTTCTTTTCTTAAAAACATTTAAAAAATATTTATTTTTAATATATATTTTATTGATTTTTTACAGGGAGGAAGAGAGAGGGGTAGAAAGTTAGAAACATGAATGAGAGAGAAACATCAATCAGCTGCCTCCTGCACACACCCCACTGGGGATGTGCCCGCAACCAAGGTACATGTCCTTGACTGGAATCGAACCTGTTACCTTTCAGTCTGCAGGCTGATGCTCTATCCACTGAGCCAAACCAGTTTTGGCTAAAAATATATTTTATTGATTTTTTCACAGAGAGGAAGGGAGAGGGAGAGAGAGTTAGAAACATCGACCAGCTGTCTCCTGCATACCTCCTACTGGGGATGTGCCCACAACCAAGGTACATGCCTTTGATCAGAATCGAACCTGGGACCTGTCATTCCACAGGCTGACGCTCTATCCACTGAGCCAAACCGATTAGACAAGCCATTTTTCTAAGTTCTCAGTTGTATCATTTGGTTGGCATTAACCATAGCATGGTTATTTAAATCACCTCTCACACCAAACTTGTGAAGTAAAGGGAGTATGAGATAGCAAGATAGAAGGAAGGATAACTATAATTATGCAGGGATCTATGATAAGTAATTGAATAGAATTGAATTTATGATGGAAGGATTTCAAATGTTGGGAGAGAATAATTCTGAATTGTCTTTTTGTGTATTTTCTCCTCTTTCAGACCATCAGGTTTAAATCCTATTTGCTGAGCATGGGAATAGCTAACCCAGTTACCAGGGAAACCTATGGCTCAGGCACACAGTACCACATGCAGCTGGCTAAACAGCTGGCTGGAATATTGCAGGCCCCTTTAGAGGTAAAAACAAAACCTAAATGGTCTTTTTAATGTGTGTTAAATTATTTCTGTGTAATCAGAAATCTTAAGAGCATAACTCCTTTCATGATGTGGTTACTGTTTAACCATCATGTTATTTTTTTTCCTCAGGAATATTAAATTAGTTTAGTGTACTTATTAATGGGTTCTTTGTCAGTAATCTTCTAAATTGTTTTTAATTTTCACTTAAGATATCTGTAACTTTCTAAATCTAGTGGATATAAAGTTTTTCTTATCTCTTATTTTCAAAAGGAAATATACGATTTCTATTATTTAGCTATTTTTATATATCAGTAGTCAATATATAAGGTGGGGCAAAAGAAGGTTTACAGTTTGTATGGAAAATAATACAATAATTAACAAATAATAATATAAGAATGAATTGTTTCATATACAGCTACCTACTTTTACCCCACCTGTATATGTACTATTAATTTTATAAGATTTCTCTTCTAGTCTAACATTATTCAGGCAATCGAAACTTTACTCATTAAAGCACTTGTATTAATAAATATTTCAAACATGAACAAATAGATTAGGATAATGAATCCTTATGTGCCCATCATCTAGCTTTTTCTGGAAGCCAACCTCCACTCTGAATTACTATGAAGCAAATCCCTGACATCACAGCACTTTTATCTGTAAATATTTCAGTGTATAATTATGATAATAAATAAACCTTGAAATGTAATTATAATCCCATTTTACACCTGAAAAGTTAAAAATAACTTTTTAACATTATTAAATACCTAGTTATTTTTCACATTTTCTCTTACAATTGGTTTGTTCAAATCAGAATACATTGAAATTGGTTGATTTGTCTCTCAAGTTTTTTTTAATTCCATGGGTTTTCCTTTTTTGTACCCCTCCTCCCAATTTATTGATTGGAGTAATTAATAGTTTATCTGATAGAGTGTTTCAGTCTGGATTTTGCTGACTTGTATGTTAACATGGTTTCCTATAATCTGGTAGTTATATGTAGAAGTTTTTTTTTCTGATAAGAATATTTCTTTTTTTTTTTTTAATATATATTTTATTGATTTTGTACAGAGAGGAAGGGAGAGAGATAGAAACATTGATGAGAGAGAGTCATCGATCAGCTGCCTCTTGCACACCCCCTACTGGGGATATGCCTGCAACCAAGGTACATGCTCTTGACGGGAATCGAATCCTGGACCCTTCAGTCCCCAAGCCGACGCTCTATCCATTGAGCCAAACCGGTCTTGGCTGATAAGAATATTTCATAAAGTTTGTGCATTTTCATCAGGAGGTACATTTCTGATTGTCTTTTCTTTATGATGTTAGCAGCCATTAACAGTCATTATCTACATTATTATTTCACTAGAGGCCTGGTGCACGTAATTTGTGCAGTTGGGGGTGCTCCCTCAGCCCAGCCTGTGCCCTCTCACAGTCCAGGAGCCCCGCGATCAATGGCCCTGGCAGAGGAAGGCCCTGCCCACCCACCACAGCGCTGCCGCCAGGTAGCCTGGGCCTCCCTCTTTGGGTCGATTGATCACTGGGCTCTACCATCAATTGCCCCAAAGAGGTGGGCCCTGCCCACCTGGCTGGGGTTCCACAATGGATTGCCCCCTCAGAGGGAGGCCCCACCTGCCTGCCACAGCCTGCTGGTTGGTGGCCTGGGCCTCCCTCTTTGGGGCGATTGTGGAGCGCGCCCCCCTCCTCCCCCCGATTGATTGATTGCCCTATGGACTGGTGGCCTGGAACTCCCTCTGCAGGGCGATCATGGGGTGATGGCCGGGCCCCCAATCAATTGCATTGCACTGTCTTGGCTGGCCTGGCACCAGCGGGTGTCATAGCGTGTCATCCGGAAGGTCGTCTGGGTGGTCGTTCTGCAGTTCAGCTGTTCAGTCGATTTGCATATTATGCTTTTATTATTATAGTCTAGGAGTAGAAAATGGAGATATTCTTACTCAGTTCTATAGTTTCATTGTTTATTAGCTAGAACAACTTAAAACACTTTTGAAACATGGTGGAGAGACTTTTTTCATTTAAGTAAATGTGAAAAGAGTAATAATGACATTAAAGTCCAGATATTGAATTTAAATGTCTCGTGGTATCTAAGTTCTCCTGTGTGTAAATAATATAAAGCTTCTTAAGAAATTTTATAATTTCCAATTTTACTCTGATTATGATTTCTAATAAATGCTAAATGGTGCTAATTATAATATAATACTTTTAAATTTTTCATTATTTTATTTTAATAGGAACGAGGGGGTATAATGTCACTCACGGAGGTGTACTGTTTAGTAAACCGAGCTCGAGGAATGGAAGTAAGCATAGAATATTTAGATTGCTTCTTTAAAAATCTAAATATAGACTTTCTTAATATAATACAAATTTCCCTACAATGAATACAATTTGAGGAAGGGTTGTGACTATCAAACTATTTTGAGAAGAAGTATGATGCAGTGAAAGAGCCACTCTGTGGTCTAGGAGGTGGATTCTGTTCTCGGTTTTGCTGATGATCTTGAGTAGCTTACTTAACCCCTCAAACTCAGTTTTTCTACCCTTTCTACCTTTTGGGCTGACTGACAGCTTTCAGCTCTAATAGTCTGCTTGTGTTGTGATTAATAAGTTGGCCATGATGCCCTTTCTCTGGGATAATTAGCTGTCTGACTTAATTGGGGTGGATACAGAGTGCCCGTAGATGACAGGGAAAGCTGCCATGTCCTTTGGTGTGAATAAGCCGAGGCTGTTCTTCAACTTTCATTGACCCTTCACACCCAGGTGTCCTTGGCCTCCACGCTTATGCCTGTGCACCCCTTATGCCTTCACAGTCAAACACAGTTTTGTGGTGTCAACAGTTTGCTCTGTCTTTCCAGTCTTCACCCCTGACTCACAAATTCAGCCTATGCTCTTTTTATTTGAATAGTCATAACTGCCATTTGGTGAGTACGGTACTTACTACCTACCAGGCACTCTGCACTTTACCTCATTTATCCTCCCAGTAACTCGGGGAGGCAGCTACTTTTACTATCCCAATCTGGTGGTAACATGGGGTGAGAAAATTGAGGCTTAGAAAGATTAAATAATTTTACATAGGTTGCACCTGGAGACTGATTTTTAAAAAAATATATATTTTATTGATTTTTTACAGAGAGGAAGGGAGAGGGATAGAGAGCTAGAAACATCAATCAGCTGCCTCCTGCACACCCCTTACCAGGGATGTGCCCGCAACCAATGTATATGCCCTTGACCGGAATCGAACCTGGGACCTTCCAGTTCGCAGACCAATGCTCTTCCACTGAGCCAAACGGGTTTCGGCATGGAGACTGATTTGATAGGGGTTTGGACCCAGGCTGGGTTGGCTCCATAGCCGTTCTGTGTGACTTAAAGCTGTGCTTGTCAACCACCACACGGCTCCTCGGTCTGGAAGGGCAGCGACGAGCTAGCCACCTGTGATGACTGTGAACTTAAAATGTAGTGAACCCAAATTGATGTAAGTGTAAATTACACATCTCATTTAGAAGACTACAGAATAAAGAAATCTTAAATATACGATTATCGATTTTACAGAGTGGGGCAGAAGTAGGTTTCCAGTTGTGAATATGCAAAACACAGTTTATTCTTGTACTAGAGGCCCGGTGCACGAATTCGTGCGCCAGCGGAGTCCCTCAGCCTGGCCTGTGGAATCAAGCCGAAACTGGCTCTCTGACATCCCCTGAGGGGTCCTGGATTGTGAGAGGGTGCAGGCCAGGCTGAGGGACCCCACTGGTGCACAATCAGGGCCGGGGAGGGATGCAGGAGGTTGGCCAGCCAGGGAGGGCTCCAGGACGTGTCCAGCTAGTCTCGCTTAGTTCCAATTGGCCTGACCCCAGCAGCAAGGTAACCTACCAGTCAGAGTGTCTGCCCCCTGGCGGTCAGTGCACATCATAGTGACTGGTTGATTGGTCGACTGCCCCCTGGTGGTCAGTGCACGTCATAGCAAGCAGTTGAGCAGCCTTAGCATATCATTAGCATATTATTCTCTGATTGGTTGACCGAATGACTGGATACTTAACATATTAGGCTTTTATTATATAGGATTATTTATTGTATTATTTTTTCATATGAACAACTGCAAATCTTTTGCCCCACTCTGTATACTGAATTTTTGATCTATTGGGTATATATGTGTTAAAATTAAATTCACCTGTTTTAATTTTTTTAATATGGCTACTATAAAATTTAAAATTATATATATGACTTTACCTTCTGCTTCTGTTGACTATCACTGCTTTAATGAATAGAAGTTTTTGCGACTTTGTTAATTTTTTGCTTTGTAGTGATTAAGCCACCTAAAATTCTTAATAAATGATAATTTTAAAAATTTCTCTTGTTTTAGTGGTCGTTATAATTTTATAGCATCACTCTATTAATTTGCAGTGTAAACTGGATTTTTTTTTCTCCCCATTAGTTGCTCTCACCAGAAGATTTAGTGAATGCATGCAAGATGCTGGAAGCTCTGAAATTACCTCTCAGGTAAAAGAATCTCTGCAGGAAGTTTGCCAACTATAGATAGGAAACTATCTGCACTAATTAGATAGGAAAGCCCTGCCAGGTCTGCCATCCTGTGGGGTGAGCCAACATTTTGCCCCTCTTGAAATTCTGTGTTAACAGAATTCACTTGGCACCACAAGCACCTCCGTCATCCTGGCTTCCATCCTGTGCATGGCCTGAGGGGGGTAGTAATCCAACTCCGGTCGTTTTGGCGCAATGAGATAAGAATGTGGGCTCTTCCCATGAGGTCAGAGTAACTAGCTCCTCTTCCCTTAGACTTTCTGTGTTTTGTCTCTGGAGACCCAGAAGTACAGATGTTCAGAATTGTATTTTACTTATCTTCATGGTTAAAAAAAATTAGCCAGAGATGTACTGCGTAGTGAATATCATTGTAATAACTATGTATGGTGCCAGGTAGGTACTAGAATTATCAGGTGATAACTTCATAAATTATATAATTCTCTAATCACTACATTGTACATATGAAACTAATATGAAATAATATTGAATGTTAACTATAATTGGAAAATAAAAATTGAAAAAAATAGCCAGATATGTATTTTTTTTTTAAGTATGTAGGTAATAGTTTATTCATGAACTTTATAATTATGCCATGGTTGCTTGTGATTGTTAAGTTTCAAATGATGTTTTGTGTTAATATTGCCTCATACCTGGGCATAAAAGAAGGTGAATAATATTGTGCCTCCTTAGTGGTTGAAGATCCTACATATTCACAGCTTTGCTCTCCCGCCTGCTGTTTTAGGCTCCGAGTTTTTGACAGTGGCGTCATGGTAATTGAGCTTCAGTCCCACAAGGAAGAGGAAATGGTGGCCTCAGCCTTGGAGACAGTATGTGAACCCGGTTTCCTCTGGTCACAGGGCTTGCTGTGAGGACCCAAATGTCTAGCAACTTGAGAAACAGGATTTCCTTTTGAACTTAACTTTACTAAAAAGTAGTGTTTGTTGGCCCAGTTAAAAATGGTTTATCATTAACAATGAATAAATATTAATCATAATTATTCTCTGAAAGCTTTTTTTGAATTGTACTAATGCTCAAAACATCTTACAGGAAAAGAGAATTAGAATTAATGAGGTGTTTTCTTTTTGTTTGAAGCTATCTTAAGAACAGGTTTTTTAACTTTGTTATTCAGAATGTTATCCACAATAGAACTTTTACTTTTAGTAGCAATTACATAAGTAGCATTACAAACATCAAAAGTTGTTTTATGAAATAATTGTTTCAAAAATATGAAAAGCATCTGTAGTTTAGATGGATTTTATGGCCAGACTGCTATTACTCATCATGGTACTTGACATATTACTACCTTCATAGTCTCTATGGTGAGCCTGTATAATTTGAATAGCTTATATTTATTATACTTTTCAATTTAAATTACATGAAACTACCTGAGACTATAGGTATTCTGACCACATATTTAAAACTAAACCAAGCTGAAACTGGTTTGGCTCAGTGGATAGAGCATCGGCCTGCGGACTGAAAGATCCCAGGTTCGATTCCAGTCGGGGGCATGTACCTTGGTTGCGGGCACATCCCCAGTGGTGGTGGGGGGGTGCAGGAGGCAGCTGATCGATGTTTCTGGCTCTCTATCCCTCTCTCTTTGTCTCTGTAAAAATATCAATAAAATACATTAAAAAACACACAAAAAACTAAACCGATATATAAAGAAGGTTCTTCACTGGATTGTGTAATATGAATTCAATTAGAATTTGTTGTATGTTCCTTTTCAGAATATCAGAAATTTTTTTAGACTTTAGTGCCTTGATTATATTTTAGAGGGTTTTATATTTTAGCCTCTACTTTTTTTGGTCTGGATCCTTCAGCTTTTGTAGAATTAAACATTAGTGCAGACTTATTTCTATAGTGGATATTTTTTGGATTTTAGTTGAAAATTCAGTAAATTATTTCCTGAGTATAGCTGGTAGAAATTCTTTCTAGGTTAGTACCTTAGTGGTCTAAATTATGACATTTATTTTGCTGTGTGTTTCTATAAGGTTTCAGAAAAGGGATCCCTAACATCAGAAGAGTTTGCCAAGCTTGTGGGAATGTCTGTCCTGCTGGCTAAAGAAAGGTAAGTAAGGGCCTTGCTCTTTGTTACAACTTGTGTTTCTGAATGGACAGGTGATTGTGGTTTTCTCCCTTGATTCCTAGGTTGCTGCTTGCAGAGAAGATGGGCCATCTTTGCCGAGACGACTCAGTGGAAGGCTTGCGGTTTTACCCAAATTTATTTATGACACAGAGCTAAGGTTTTTTGTATGTGAAATACTTTTTATCCATGTACTTGCATCATGTATAGGTTGTATGATACTGAGCTAAGGGTAAACTCTGATACACTGAGAATTTGCTGGAACTGTAAAACCCTTTTAATTTCTTCCTAATATGGGATAGGAAGTTGATTTAGGATGAATATAGGAAAATACAGAAAAATGAATGCCAATTTGAATTTAAAATCATGCTTCACTTGTATAGAACCCTCATAGTTTAACTTGAAATATAGTGGATTTTAACCTTATCATCAAATCTAACTATTTAGTTCATGGGGGAAGGAAAAGAGAAGCTGCATGTTTAGACAGGTTAGTTCGTTATTTTGGTGTGACTAAAATTCACTGAATTAAAAATAAGTGAAGTTTTTGTTCAGTCTGGGAGGTTTTCATGAAGCAAGTCCTACATTCAGTGTAGTTTAAGAACCTGACAACATTGGAACAAAATACCAAACTGCGGCATGCCTGGGAGGCTCCTTCTAGGGGCTTTTATTAGAAACAGTCATAACGTGTCTTCAACGACAAATAAAGCACCTTAAAAAAGGAGAGAATTGTATCTGACTCACATATATATTATCTAACTAGTTGTTTTTTTAAGTGATGATTTCATGCCTGACATTTAAAGAATGCAACTATGTCATTTTGTTTAAAAAATACTGTGGATCTTGAAACTGAGTTAAAGAGCTGTATAGACATGCCCAGAGATATGATTACAAATTTGGGAAGTAGATAGCTCAAGAACATAAAAGTGGAAAAATAATATGTCTCCTTTTCTTTCCCTTAAGGAGTTTCACACTGAACTTTAAAAATCTGCCTATCATATTCTAGCAGTATTTTTTCTTTACATGATAAGTTGTGTGGAGGAACTTTCCTGCTAAAAAGTATTACTGAGGTAACAAAAACTGGATAGTGCTGAGTTTAGATGGCTTGAGTGTTAAGTGCACTCCCTGACTTCCTATGTTCCAGCTCTGTAGCATTCGATGTGCTGGGATTACCTCACACTCAGGGACCAGCAGGCACGGAGGAGACCCTCATTCTGAGGCTGAGTCAGGAGTGGAAGGTAGTGATGATTTCCGGCCAAGCATCCAGAGGGGACAGTATCTGTGTTGAGGGAACCATTGAGACCAGGAGGAGCAATACCCAGGCTCACACTCTCAGATGTTCTCAGTGAGGTGAGTGCCATGCCAGAGGCTGCTTCAGGCGCAGCGATCCTCGGCTGCAGACCCAGGAATCCCTCCAAGTGCAGCCAGAGTCAGTCCGATTCCTCCCAGAAAAGTGGCTGTTGCAGCTTCACATCCTCCAGTGTCGGGAATGTTGTGCCTGAGGCATCCTTCCTTACTCTTCTTTTTCCAAATCTGTCACTGATTCTAAATTGTGATGACAGATCCCCTAGTTCCTCCACTGCTCAGCCTCAGGTTTGTTTTGGGGGAAATTCAATGTCTTTCAGGCCATGGTGTAAGCTTGTTTGTACATCACTCCTCTCGGGCTGCACAGCTAAGACTGAGCTACTGTGGTCTAGCTCTAATGCTGTGGATGTATTACAGCAAACTCCCATAATTCAGCCTATTTATTTACATTAGTGTGACAACACGTTAACAAAAATGGAGCAATCGGAATTGTATACAGTGAACTAAAGAGGCAGTAAAATGACATATGAATATATTTTGCCAAAAAACCCCAAAACCAAACCAAATGTGATTGCCTTCACTGTTAATATTTTTTTTGTTAAACTTTATATGAAGATATTTTTTTCCATTGATTTTTTTTCTCTTTTAGAGAGAGTAGAAGGGAGATAGGGTTGAGGGGGATGGGGTGGAGAGACTGAGAGATAGAGACATTGATTGGTTTTCTTCCATATGTGCCCTGAGCAGTCTGGGAATTGAACCTATGACCCTTTGGTGTGGGGCCGATGCTCTTAATCACTGAGCCAAACCAGTCAGGGCAGCATTGTTTTATTCTTAACGTGGGCATTCTTCACATTTTCCATACCTCAGTATATATATATTTTTTTCTTTTTCTGTCAAATAAGGTGTTATTTTGGTCATCTATTAGTAGAGGTTATGTTTAAATACAACCAATCGGGTCCTAAGTGCAAAAAAGTTCTGTCTTGGTGCTTATCACTGGTATAATTACTGTTTTTGCTTTCCTAACTTTGCTCTTTGGAGCATTAATCTGTTAGTAGCTTTATGGTAATGGAATATTTCTAGTCACATACTGTGCAAAAATTTTTTACATTGTACAAGTAAAGATTGTTTTTGGTGTTAAATGAGTGGTATTAATGTTTATAAAGTTATTGCAAAATTAAAAATGATTTTTCTTAACTTGGTGTCTTTTAAATACTTTGGAAAATATATGAAAATCATAAACCTTTAATCAGAATAAGCTGGTTTATAATCAAGAGTTGATTATAATTATTTTTTACCTCAAGCTCTTACTATTTTAGTTTGTTTTATAAGAATGGGAAATGGTTCATGAACTTTTTAAAAAATATTCTTGATGTAAATTCCACCATTGATTGACCAGGTGTATTCATGTGAATGTGTTATATCTTGTTTGCTGTCATCAGACTAATATGACCAGATGTGGATTCATCATACTCATCTGCTTAAAATGATTCTCCTTTGCCCAACAACCTCAGAGTTCTCATCTTGGAGCAGTAGAGTCACAGCTTACTGGGTGGTTAGATTTTAAAGACTGTGCCTAAGTAGAAAATCGAACATGCTCAAAATGATCCTTGAAAATCTCTTAAATGCCAATAAAATTCTACATATAGTCTTACATTAGAATCCCTGTAGTGATATCTGGGTATGAATATTTTATGAATATGGTAAGTACAATATATAAGAAAAACTACATATCAGCAGACCTTTATAGCACCAATAATTGAACTGTTAAATGTGTTTGTCTCCTTTTTTCTGCGAGGTATGTATATTTATTGTTTATCCCTTCCCTTATGATAGATCTAGAATATTAGCTCCACAAGGGCAAAGATTTTGATCTGGTTTGTTCATGAGCCTAGAACAGGGCCTGGCACATAGTAAGTACTCAATAAATATGTATTGAACGAATGAGCTCTGATGCATTTACCTATTAAAATTTGGTTTCACTTTACCCTACTTCATCTCCCATTCAATTCAATTAAGGAAACATTTTTTCATACATATCAACTTAGTGTGGGGAACTGTGGGCCACTGGCGGTTGGGTGGTGGGATACAAAGAGTAAGATACAGCTCTTGCCCTTAAGAGGGTGGCCTATTTGGGGAATTGGATGTGAGCAAACTTACTTGAGCGTGGAATGGAGTGAGCGCCACGGAAGGGCACAGGTGCCCTGCGAGGAAGACAGTGGAGGAGCTCTTCGCTCTCATGGAGGAATCTGAAAAGGCCTGTGGGAGAGGACGAGCTTGGTAAACTGGGCTCACAGGACCAGTGGGTGGAAGGTCAAGGGAACAGCATGAGGTGTGCCCCTTCCTGGTTCTGGGATGAATTCCCCTTGTCTGTCCAAACTTTTATTACTTCTTCCCCCCCCGCCCCCCCCCTGCATTCTCATTAATCAATCCCATGTGCTTTCAAAAATTTTGTTTCCAGCTGAAACCGGTTTGGCTCAGTGGATAGAGCATTGGCCTGTGGACTGAAAGGTCCTGGGTTCGATTCCGGTCAAGGACATGTACCTTGGTTGTGGGCACATCCCCAGTCAGGGATGTGCAAGAGGCAGCTGATCGATGATTCTCTCTCATTGATGTTTCTAACTATCCCTCTCTCTTCCTCTCTGTAAAAAAATCAATAAAATATATTTTAAAAATTTGTTTCCAGTACACTACTATTTTTAAATTCCATAAGAATATTTACTTGACTATATTTTATATTGTTCTGTATTATGCCATTAGAAAATAGAGAAATTGGGTTTCTTTAAGGACTGTCATATAGCACTTATTTTGAATTCCTACTGGTCTAAGCCAATAATTATACATGGTATTGTCCTAGTTAAAGTATTAACTGAACTGTGGTTTTTGGATTATAATGTGTTGACTTGCAAACCTAAATCTTCGCCCTTTACCCAGTCCCCAAGAGGCTTCTCAGCCTATCTGAGACACACTCTGTCTTACTCAAATTTTATAATATGGACCATATCCATGATGCTGGATCACTCCAGAAAAGTCAGGTTAATACATATGTAAGATCTAGTTATTACACAGGAAATTGGGTCTTTGTGTACTTCCTCGTGTCCTGATAATCATGAACTAGTTAAACCTTTTCTCTTAGTATTACCTAGGGCAAGAAAAGACCTCTCCGTATAAATTGATGTTATTGAGACAATGAATAAATTTGCACAAGTTTGTTAGAGCAGTTGCTGACCCTGAAAGAGAATTGAAGATATCTTGATAGCCAGTTTGTTTTAGTTCATATCCCTGACAAGACCATGCCATTGTTCTTTTGAAAGCTTTTTTTTCTTTCATGACTGTGTTGCCTTCTTTATTTTTGTTAATCATCACCAGAGGATATTTTTTCCATTGATTTTTAGAAAGAGTGGAAAGGAGGGAGTGGGGAGAGAGAAAGAAACATCAATGTGAGAAAGACACATCAATTGGTTGCCTCCCAAACATGCCCCAACCAAGGGTGGGGGATTGAACCTGCAACCCAGGTATGTGTCCTTGTCTGGGAATTGAACCCACAACCCTTCAGATCATGGGCCAACACTAACCACTGAGCTGCACTGGTAAGGGCTATGTTGCCTTTTAGAAAAGCTTAAACTATCTTAATTGTCCAATAAAGACATTAATATAGTTTGGCAAGAATTCTAATTAAGGCAAAAATGACCAAGTACAGTGATTCAGCCATTTGCCTCTGGATTTAGGTCCTTCCACCCCTCTAAGGGAGGGTGAGTGTCTGAAAGATTAATGCAAAGTGCTTTCTACACGTTTCACCCAGTCACCAAGAAACTTAAATAGAACTGATACTGTATGACGTTTACAGTGGAGGAAAAGAGGCCTTGTCATTTGCCCAAGGTTACAGAGGCAGGGCTGGGAATAGTAATCTCAGCTCTCACTCCAAAGCCGTCTTTCCATTGAGCTTTTTGCTTTTAAAGCTGAAAATGCCAGGGACCTTGGCTTGTAGTTGATTGAAAAGGAATCCCAATTTGAGTTAAATGGATATTGGACTAGTTAATTCTACTGGGAGTGAAAATGAATGATGGCCTTAAAGCCTTTTTTTTTTTTTTTTTAAGCTTTGGATTTAATTAGTACTGCTAGAATTAGTTATTTGACAAGTACTTAGCAAATTTGGTATATTTGACAACCTTTGATAATTGTGCTACCTTTTAAAGACTACGTGATGGATTCAAGGGCCTGCAAATGCTGTATTTTAAGAATTTTAAAAATTGAGGCAAAATTCACAGATCTTAAATTGAGTAAGTTTTGATAAATCCGAGTAACACACATCCCAACCAGTAGAATATACCTGTCATCACAAAAAGTTCCCTGGCGCTTCTTTCCAATCACCTGCTCCCCTATGCCACAAGTATGCTGTGATTTCTATTACTCTATTAGTTGTGTCTGTTAAAGAAAACGAAACGGTAAGCGGTGCTGCACATCGTAGTGTACTCAAAACACCGCACAGCTGTTGAACAATATGGAACTCAATCCTCTTAAAAAGATCTAATCCTGCAGATCAGTTTTTAAAATGTAAATTTAAAATTAATTCAATAACCAAAGCTGGCTCCTGAGAAAGAAAAACCAATTGCACCTTACTTGAACTGTTTTTAAACTCTTCCACAACATTTGGGAAGCCAAGTATTCGGGGAAAACCATGTTTGCAGCCCGCCAGTCATGTCCCTTCAGTGGCTTACTGTGTGCGCCCCCAGGAGAAAGGACCCGGGAGAGAGATGACAGGTGAAGTCAGGAGGCTGCTGGCTGCCCTTAGGGTCCCACCTGCGGGCGGGGTGTGTGCCCCCTGCGGCCCGCGCGCTTCCTGGGGGGTTTCCTGCCCGGCGGCCGGCGGGGCGCGGGCCGGGAGGATGCGCCGCCTGGACCCGGGGCGGGCCTCGCTCCGCCACCCCCGCCCTCCGCCCTCCGCGGGCCGCCCCGCGCCGTCGGGGGCGGGCCCGGGTGGGGCCGCGGTCGCCGGGCGCGGGCAGGTCGCAGTCGCGGCGCCGGCTGCATCGCGCTCCACCTCGCGGCCCCGAGGCTGCCGACCCGCGCCCCTCGCCCCCGCGCCGCTGACCCGCCGCCCGAGGTAAGAGCCTTCCGCGCCCCGGGGCGCTCCTGCGCGGGGACTCCCGGACCGCGTCCCTCAGTCTTCCCGCGGCCGAAAGCACGGGAGACGGCCGGTGCCAGTCCCTCACGCACCCGCTTCTAGGTGCTCAGCCTCCGCCCCGGGCGCAGGCTCTGCGGGGGGCCGAAGCCGGCTGCGGACTGAGCCGGCACAGTTGAGGCCCTTGAAGAATACGTCTGAGGGATTAAGCGTTTGGGAACAAGTCAGCTCTTTCCCCACAAAGAAACTCTTTTTGGGGTATAGGCTTTTCAAAAACCGTCCTCATTTTAAGAGAGCTTTCTCTGACTTCACAGGCCCGGCTGTTTGCAAGCTTGAACTTGACTTGCGGGCCTTGGGAAGCTGGGTGGATGCAGGGAGCACACCGCTTCCCGGGAAGCTGCATCCAAAGGGTGGGAGGGAGGGACCAGGCAGAGCCCACTGGACTGCGTAGGTGCTAGTGAGTAAAGCCAGTTTACACGAGCTGCTTTGGATTAGGGATTTCCTCCTAATATATATTATTATTAGATGTATGCACACACAAACATGTGCGGGTTTATCAGAGGGACAAATTTACTGCTTTTTTTGTTTGTTTTCCCTTCTATTTATGTATTTATTTATATATCTTTATGAATTTCAGAAAGGAAGGGAGAGAGAGAGAAATATCAAGGATGGGAGTGAATCGTTAATTGGTTGCCCCCTGAACTCCCCCTACTGGGGATGGAGCCCATAACCCTGGCATGTGCCCTGGACCGGAAACTAACCAGCCCCTTCTGTCCTTATCCAGCTTTCTGTCCACTGAACCAAACCAGCTAGGGGGTCTTTTCCCCTTTTATTTGTAATAAGCCATTGGTCTCCTGCCCTTTAGCATAATTCATTGTCTTTTTCTGCGACTATGAAGACACTGTGGGGATTATTTTAGCTGGTTCCACCAAAAACATGGAATCTGAGCTGGGCGTGAAACCATTAGCCGTTGAGAATAGTCACAACTTCTACCTACCCTGTAGTTGATACATTTAGAATTTGTGAATGCTATGTAGAAGTATTTTAAAATGTGTATAAAATATGCTTAAGTTCTTATTTTCTCAAAATGATTCTCAAGTCAAACATTGTAAGAAGCAAGTACTGTATTGGGAACAACACGCTGGGATAAATTGAGCAAGCAAGGTTATTATTATTATTTTTTTTAATGTAGTGCTTTCCCCCAGCAACTAATTCTGTTTTGGGATGCTCTGTTAAAGTATTCAAATTAGTGGTTGAGCTGGTAAAATTTTAGCATTTATTTTAAGAAGCTTGAGAATACAAAAAAAATCTGTATTATGATTTCAGGTAGGATGATTTATTTTTAATTACATTTCTATTCAGTTCTAAATATAGATTATTACACTATTCTAGGTTTTACTGGTCATTTTCTTAAGGAGCAAAATGTGTTATAATCACAAAATCAGTTGTAATTAGAAGCTTCTTTAAAAAAAAAAAATAGTTACAACGGGGAGACAAGCATTTTGGGAAAAACCATTCAGCTTTGGGAGTTGTGGATGCTTGTTTCTCCTGACTTTGGTTGCTAAGTATCGCTGACTAAAAGGAGGCTTTTTAATTGCCCCAAGCCCTATGCTTGCAGGGGACATACATGGTGCTCACTTGCTGTCTTTGCCCAAGTTTCCGAGTCCACGTTCAAAAAAAGGATTAAGGTCAAATCTGTGCCTAATTTGAGTAAAATTGAATGCTCTTTTCTTGGTGGTGGTGGGGTGCAGGAAGTCCTAATCGTCTGTGTAATTACGTTTTAAATTTCTGCTTTCCTTTAAGGAAGTACAGCACCTATTTCCTTTGTTCAACCAACTCCCTCTATAAGAAAGCTAATAGACACATATCAGTTCTCTTTCTATTGAATTTTTTATTATTCCAATCATTCTCTGTAATTCCATTATTTTTCTATCTTATTTGAATGGATATAGCATACTTATATATTTATTAAAATTATTAACTGGATAATGGGAATATGAACATTAAGTAAATATATATTTAGTTATGTTTAGTGGCCCACTTTTACTAGATTCTATAAAAAAAGGGGCATTTAAATGCCCACTATCTTATTCTGTGGTCCAACAGTTGTTTCTATTAAAGTGAGTGCCTCCTCCCACAAATCACCCTGAAGCGCAGGCCAACGAGGTCCTTCCTGCTCTCCCAGGTGGTCTGGGAAGATTGCTGCATGAACTCATCTGTCTCCTGAGGGGTAACAGCAGCAACAAGCATTAGAAGACTGACAGATGATAACTGTTATTTCTGTTTTCTCTTTAGAGTGACCTAAATAAGGGAAGTCAGGGCCACATGGAGTTCACACTATATTGACTACTCTGGGCATCTTTTTAAAAAAAGGTTTTGGTATAGCTCCTAGGCATTAAGAAATGAAGCAATTCCGATAACACCCCGAATGTGCAAGGAAGAGAATATGCCCATTTGTGGAAGCAAGGCAGCACCTTTCTACATAGCATAATGCAAAAAGAAAGTTTGACGAACATTTAATAAATTTATTAAAATCTAGTAAATCAGTGTGAAATACCAAGCAGATAAATATGTGATGATGTATTATCAAGACTGGTGCCCTAGCTGGTTTGGCTCGGTAGATAAAGTGTCGACCTGCAGATTGAAGGGTCCAGGGTTCGATTCTGGTCAAGAGCACATATCTTGGTTGTAGGCTTGGTCACGTGTGGGAGGCAACCAATGTGTATCTCTCATATCGAGGTTTCTCTCTGTCTCCCTCTCCCTTCCACTCTGCCTAAAAATCAATGGGAAAAATACCTTTGGGTGAGGATTAACCACAAAATGATTGGCTATTAGCTTTGATGAAGTTAAGAAAATAATAACAAATTCTCCACTTAAAGATGGGCTACAGAGATGTTCTGCAAATATAATCTTGGTGTTGAGCACCTTGAATATTCTTAACAGGTGATTTATAATGGAACAAAAGGGAAGTGTATAATTGCATATCATTTCCCCAGCGAAAATGAGTGTCCTTTGTATTTTCTTTTCAGTACCACCTAAGAAGTTTGATTTCTTAGAATGGTTTTTGTAATTTCATAATTACTGTTTTAAGAATGTCATCATTTTTCTGAGGTTCTAATTGCAGGTGTTTTCGAAAAACAAAACAAAACAAAAACCCCCCACAACATTCACAGTTTAGATGTGAGAAAGGACATGAGGAGACCAAAGAAGACCTGGGATTTTGCTGATCAGAATGAAACAAATCTTGAAAGACTTTTCAAATCTCTTGCTGGTGATGCTCTGTGACTGTGGTGAGTATTGTGAGTGTACTTAATGCCATCAGAGCTGATGAAGAAACATCATTGACAAGTTTGTAAATGCACTGATGTTGAGGACCTGCATGAGGAGGCAGGGCAGGGTTTATAATGCAGTACCTTTCAAACTGTGATCCTTGTAACCCTGGGTTCTCTTAAGGTTCTGAATTATGGATTCAAGCTTCACTTTAAATATATTTTAAAATCATAAAATGATAATAAAAACTCACTTTCAATTTAACAAATTGGAGACAAGCCTGTTACATGATGTTTTATACATTGGGTTTGATGTAAGATTGCACTTGACAAGAGAGTTTTGCTGCTACATTATCATTGGAACCAATTTGAACTTTCTATCTTTGCCAATTGTATACCTTAGGTAAGTTTTTTTTTTTTTAAATAAGTTTTTATTAATTACAGAGAGGAAGAGAGGGGAAGACAGAAACACCAACGATGAGAGAGAATCATGGATTGGCTGCCTCTTGCACGCCCCCTATTGGGCATCACGCTCCGGACATATACCTTGACTGAAATTGAACCTGGGATCCTTAAGCTGATGCTCCACTGAGTCAAACCAGCTAGGGCTATAGTAAATTTTTAAATTTCTTTCAACCTTAGTAATAATATTGACTTCATAGGGTTGTTGCTATGGTAAAATAGTCAAGAATTTGAAACACCTTGAATGGTTGAACATACAGTTGGTGTTTAATGTTAGTTTTCTTGTTTCGATTAAATATTGAGTTCATTTCTAAGACATGCAACTACTGAACCAGTAGATTCAATAATGCTGGTTTTGATGATTTCCAAATATTTCATAAACATCTAAACAGTTGATGGTGTGAGAGTAGAAGTTGTTTCCATTTTGATGAAAAAAATTATGATCAAGAGAAGGAGAATCCTGGCTTGTGTAATATCGATGGCACAGACAGCTAAACGGTCATTTTGTCCAGTGACTCTTCTTACTCAGTAATTTCTTTTTTAATATATTTAATTAAACAAGTTTTTACAGAGAACCAATCTGGGATTCCTCTCTTTTAAAGTTATTTATCCCTTCTTAAAAATAGATTGCTCTGTATGTAAGACTCATACAATAAGTTATAAGTGTCCTTTTTTCATAATGATAAAGACATAAGATCTTCCGTTTAAATAAAGTCTGCAAGGATATTTGTTATTGTCTTTTTAAATTAATTAATTTATTGATTGAGTTTTAAGAGAGAGAGGGAAAAAGAGATTTGTTCCACTTATTTATGCATTCATTGTGGATTCTTGTGTGATTCCCTGAGTGGGACTTAAACTCCCAACCTTTGTATATCGGAATGATGCTCTACTCAGCCAGAACCATGTTTATCATTGTTGGGCACAAAACATCTTACTGGAATATAAAAATAAAAATTGAATGAGCATAAAATAGAGCATACGCATAGAAGCTGAGTGCACAGGCTACTAATGGAAGAACAGGTGTATTCATAGGTCTAGGCTTTTATTTCCCCTTCTCTATCTAATGTTGATCAAAATATACCATTACCAATAAGATGGTGTTGTTTTTTTTAAATCCTCAGCTGAGGATATTTTTTACATTGATTTTTAGAGAGAGTGGAAGGAAGGGGGAAGGGGGAAGAAACTCTGATGTGAGAGAGAGAGATACCAGGAATACAGCCTGCAACCGAAGTACATGCCCTTGACCGGAATCAAATCCGTGACCCTTTAGTCTGCTCTATCCACTGAGCCAAACGGGCCAGGGCTAGGTTGTTTTTATTAAGCACCATGTTTATATTGAGACAACAGTCCTTTAAATACAATAAAGGAATGGGGAGAGAAGAAATGAAATCATAGAGAAAGCTATACTGTAGTAGTCAGAATGGCATACAAATTGTAGTTTTCTAAATGAAACGGTATTGTCTGTAAAAACAAGAGTTGTAAAGTACTAAGCTCTCTCTTTAGTGCACTGTGCTGGAACCCATTGTATCTTTTTTCTCTATTTCCAATGGGGCATGTATGTCTCTTTCATTGATTGGTTGCCCATCAAATCAGAATTTGATTTGCCTCAGTGACAGTCCCTGGCATTGACAGTAGCTTTCATTTGTTAACTAAGTGGTGTATGCCTCTTTTTTTTTATTATTGTTTAAAGTTTTACATATGTCTCTTCCCCCCTCCCCTTAACACTCCCCTCCTGCCACTCTCCCTCCCAGGAAAGCCTCCACCACTCCAGTGTCCGTGTCCATTTATTATGCTAATATGCATGCATACAAGTCCTTCGGTTGATCTCTTATTTTACTTCCCCACCTCTCCCCACCCCTTCTTCTCTCTGAGGTTGGACTGTCCAGTTTTTCGTAGTCTCTGGATCTGTTTTTGTTCATCAGTTTATGTTGTTCCTTATATCCATATGAGTGAGATTATGTGATATTTATCTTTCTCCCACATATGAGTGAGATCATGTGATATTTATCTTTCTCCGACTGGCTTATTATGCTTAGCATAATGCTTTCCAGGTCCATCCATGCTGTTGCAAATGGTAGAAGTTCTTTTAAAAAAATAATGGCAGAGTATTCCATTGTGTAGATGTACCACAGTTTTTTAATCCACTCATCTGAGATGGGCTCTTAGGCTGTTTCCAAATCTTAGCTATGGTAAATTGTGCTGCTATAAACATAGGGGTATATATGTCCTCTCTGATTGGTTTTTCTGGTTTCTTGGGATATAGTCCTAGAAGTGGGGTTACTGGGTTGAATCGGAGTTCCATTTTTAATTGTTTGAGGAATCTCCATACTGTTTTCCACACCAGTTTGCATTCCCACCAGCAGTGCATGAGGGTTCTTTTTTCTCCACATCCTCACCAGCTCTTGTCTGTTTCTTTCTTTCTTTTTTTTTTTTTTTCCTTTTTTTTTTTTTTCCTTTTTTTTCTTTTTTCTTTTTAAAGGATATTCTCCCTGAAAAGTCAGAACTGGTTTTTTATATACAGTAATAGTTCCAAAGTACAACAATTCTGATAAGAATATCATAATTCAACACATCCAGATCTAAGCCTTCCTCATTTGATTCAGCAGACCCTCAAGTTCCCCCAAAAGTTTCCAGCCATGTCTGAGAGGCAGCCTTGGGGCGGAGGCAGGCAAGGAGCAAGCTGTTCCGGGCCTGGCTGCTCCCGGCCTGGCCTCTGTTGCTCTGGTCCGTTCCACAACCAGCTGCTCCAGGTCTGACCACTGCCGCTCCGGCCTGGCTTCTCTGGGCGTGGCTGCTGCTGCTCCGGGCCTGGCCGCACCCGACCCGCTGCTCCGGGCCCGGCCGCTCCGGGCCTGGCTGCTCCCAGCCTGGCAGCTGCTGCTCCGGGCCTGGCCGCTTCCAGCCTTGCAGCTGCAGCTCTGGGCCTGGCCGTACCCGGCCCGGCTGCTCTGGGCCCGGCTTGTCTGTTGATTTCTTGATGATAGATTCTGACAGGTGTGAGATGGTACCACACTGTTGTTTTGATTTGTATCTCTCAGATGATTAGTGACTTTGAGCATGTTTTCATATGTTTCTTGGCTTTTTATATGTTCTCATTCAAAAAGTGTCTATTTAGGTCTTTTGGCCATTTTTTGATTGGATTATTTATCTTTCTTTTGTTAAGTTGTATGAATTCCCTGTAAAATTTGGAGATTAAATCCTTATCTGAGTTAGCATTGGCAAATATGTTCTTGAATGCAGTGGGCTTTCTTGTTGTTTTGTTGATGGTTTCTTATGCTGTGCAGAAGCTTTTTATTTTGATGTAGTCCTATTTGTTTTATTTTCTCCTTAGTTTCCAATGCTGTAAGAGCTGTATCAGTAAAGATATTGCTACAACATATGTTTGATATTTTGCTGCCTAAGGAGACTCCTAAGATGTTTATGGCTTCCCATCTTTCATTTAAGTCCTTTAACCATTTTGAGTTTATTTTTGTGTATGGTATAAGTTGGTGTCTAGTTTCATTCCCCCCCCCCCCCCCCCCATGTATCTGACCAAAGTTCCCAGCACCATTTATTGAAGACACTGCCTTGATTCCATTTTATGCTCTTGCCTCCTTTGTCAAATATTAATTGAGCATAATGGCTTGCATCTATTTCTGGGTTCTCTGCTCTGTTCCATTGGTCTATATGTCTGTTCTTGTGCCAGTACCAGACAGTTTTGAGAACTGTGTCTTGGTAATATAGCTTGATATCTGGTATTGTGATCTCTACAACTTTGTTCTTCTTTTCCAGGATTGCTGTGGCTACTCAGCAATTAAAAAAAAATTTTTTTTAAATTCCAGATGAATTTTTGAAGAGTTTGTTCTAGGTCTGTAAAATATGCTGTTGGTATTTTAATGGGAATTGCATTGAATCTATAAATTGCTTTGGGTAGTATGGACATTTTAATGATGCTGATTCTACCAATCCATGAAAATGGTATGTTCTTCCATTTGTTTATGTCTTCTATCTCTTTTTGTAATGTCTGTAGTTTTCCAAGTACAGGTCTTTTACTTCCTTAGTTAAGTATACTCCTAGGTATCTTAACTTTTTTGGTGCAATAGTAAGTGGGATTGTTTTTTAGTTTCTCTTTTTGTGAGTTCATTATTGGTATATAAAAAAGCCATAGATTTCTGGGTGTTAATTTTGTGTCCAGCTAAATTGCCAAATTCATTTATTAAGTCTAGTAGCTTTTTGATGGATTCTTTAGGTTTTCTATGTACAATATCATCTCATCTGCTTCTTTTCCAATTTTGATGCCTTTTATTTCTTCTTCTTGTCCAATTGCTATGGGTAGCATTTCTAGTACTATGTTAAACAGGGGTGGTGAAAGTGGGCATCCCTGTCTTTTTCCTGTTCTTAGGGGAAATGGTTTTAGTTGTTGCCCATTGAGTATGATGTTGGCTATTAGTTTGTCATATCAGGCTTTTATTATATTGAGGTATGATCCCTCTAGTCCCACATTGCTGAGAATTTTTTCCAAGAAAGGGTGTTAGATTTTTGTCAAATGCTTTTTCTGCATTGATTGATATGATTATGTGATTTTCGTCTCTCAATTTGTTTATGTGCTGTATTACATTTATTGATTTGTAGATATTATACCATCCTTGCATCCCCAGAATAAATTCCACTTGGTTATGGTGTACAATCTTTCTAATGTAATGCTAGATCTGATTTGCTAGAATTTTGTCGAGGATTTTAGCATCTATGTTCATCTAGGATATTGGCCTTTCTTTGTGTCTTTATCTAGTTTCAGAATTAGGGTAATGCTGGCCTCATAGAAACAGCTTAGAAGTACACCTTCCTCTTGAATTTTTTGGAATAGTCTGAGAACGATAGGTTTTAGTTCTCTTTTGAATGTTTGGTAGAATTCCCCTGTAAAGCTGTCTGGACTAGGGCTTTTATTTGCTGAGAGTTATTTGATTAATACTGCTTCAGTTTCTTCAGTAGTTATCGGCCTATTCAGGGTTTTTGATTCTTCCTGATTGTGTTTTAGAAGCTTGTATTTTTCTAAGAATATGTTCATTTCATTGAGGTTGCCCAGCTTGTTGGAGTAGAGTTGTTCATAGTATTTTAATGGTGTATGCCTCTTAGTCTTAATCCAGTGGGCACTGGAGGCTTTTTAGCCAGCTGTACACAAAAAGGTACCAGGTCTGCTATGAACTACCACACAAGCTGCACCAGAATCAGCTACTTTTTGAACCTTAACCTTGAATTGTTTACATCTGAAAGGAAGTAGCCCTCAACTTCTACTTTGACTAAATAAATTAAAAAAACCCCACAACTTTATCCTATTAAGGTTTTCAACAAGTGGTGATCAAGCATTCAGAACTATCCAAATTTTATATCTTTTCTTTCACCCCATCTTAAGAAATGGAAGAATTGCTGAGCTAATTAAAAGAAAACCACAAAATTTCTAAGTGTCAATATATTCATGTGTTGATTCTAAAAATCATTTACTGAGTACATGTAAGGGCAGATTTAAAGACTACCAGCCCAAACAACACATTGAGACCCTTTGGACATATATATGATATAATATGTATATATTATATACTTATGAATATATATAGTAAGATAAATGAATTCATACTTACACATATTGGTTTTCAAACCATAATGGCACTGTAGTTCCTTAAACCTAGAATGGTTTCAATGGCCATGGCCAGCCAATTGTTACATTGCCAAATTCTGTCTCCTTTGATTAAGTATTTGGATAGGGTTCAAAATAGAAAGAAAGATTCCATGTTTTTTACAGTCTTTAGTTGTTCTTTTTTTTTTTTTTTTTTTTTTTTTTTTTTAAATATATGATTGATCCTAACAGAGTAATACCAGTGGCTGATAATCATCCTATCTGGAGCAATAGCAGTTTTATAATGTCATTAAAATTGCCAAGGACAAACCTAATTGTTTCATAAACTTTCACTCTTTCCTTGGATGACCCATGGAGAACGGTGTCAGCATTTCTTATTTGTCCAAAATTTTCTGCCTCATATAAACCAGGATCAGTTGTTTCTTTACAGTGAAAATGTCCAACAAAATACTTGTCTTGAATACCTGAAAAATAACTTTGAAGTATATTTAGGGTTTGAAATTTTAAGTAACCTAGAGAAGTGTTTATTATACCATTTAAACCAGGCTTTCTCTGCCTTGCAGGTGTGGCTCAGTTGGCTGAGTGCCATTCCATACACTGAAAGGTCACATGCCCAGGTTGCGGGCAACCAATCTATGTTTCTCTCTCTCAGATTCTCCCTCTCCTTTCCTCTCTAAAATCAATAAGAACACATTAGAAAATAAATAAACCAAGCTTTCTCTGACTTTACTGTAAATCCATCTTCCCCAAATACCTGAACACCAGAATATGATTAAAATGAGAAAAGTGAGGTATTAGATTTTTATCTTGGGAACTGTAAATTGTTACTCTTTCTTTATAGATTTTCATTGCAGACACATTATACTGTTGAATGTTATGAATTCAGAGTATTACTGTTTATTTTAAATATAACCAAAAGAGAGGAAGATAAAGGAACAGAGCCATTTTAAAATCGAAACATAGTGCCTACCTCCCAGAATCAGCACTAAGCACCATTTTATGTCATTCTTGCCTCAGTTCAAACTTCTCTTGTGTCTATAATGATTTTTTTCTTTGATGCCTCCCGTAGTCTGCTCAACCATGCCTTTGTAAAACCCATTCTCGCCATTTCATTTCAGTTCTCGGAGAAGCTGAGTATCTCTTCTTGGGAGAGCCAGGACATGTAGCGCTGAGCAACACCACCGTGTCTGTGGATTTCCAGTATTTTGATGGCGCGAACGGGACCCTGAGGAATGTATCTGTGCTGTTGCTGGAGGCGAACACCAATCAGACTGTGGCCACCAAATACCTCCTGACCAACCAATCCCAGGGGACACTTGAGTTTGAATGCTTCTACTTCAAGGAGGCTGGCGACTACTGGTTCACAATGACCCAGGGAGTGACGGACAGCAGCCCTCCAGTCCCCTGGCGGGAGGAAGGTGCCTTTCTGAAGGTGGAATGGCCCGTCTTTCAGGTTGATCTGAATAGGACATCCAAAGCAGCGGAAGGCACCTTCCAGGTGGGCCTTTTCACCAGTGAACCACTCTGCCCGTTCCCTGTGGACAAGCCTGGCGTGGTGGTGGATGTCGTCTTCACCAACAGTCTTCCCGGGGCAGGAACAAGCCAGGAACAGCCCCTGGAGATAAGAAGCAGCAAGAGGACAGAACTCGCTCAGAGTCAGTGGGTTGAGTTTGGCTGTGCACCCGTGGGGCCCGAAGCCTATGTCACCGTGGTGCTGAAGCTGTCTGGCCGAGACTCCGTCATCACCTCCGTGGGACCCATTGACCTGGCCCAGAAATTCGGGTACAAGTTGGTGATGGTGCCAGAACTCACGTGTGCGTCCCGGGTGGAGGTGACGGTGCTGCCGCCGCCGTGCATCTTCGTCCAAGGCGTGATCGCTGTCTTCAAGGAGGCCCCCTGGCTGCCCGGGGAGAAGAGCATCCGCCTGGCTGAACACAGACTGACGCTGGGGCAGAGGAGAACAGTGTTCAATTGCACTTTGTTCGACATGGGGAGGAATAAATACTGCTTTGACTTTGGCATTTCAAGCAGAAGCCAGTTTTCTGCAAAGGAGAAGGAGTGCATGCTGATTCAGAGAAATATAGGTTGGTATTGAGATTTAAATTTTTAAAAAATCCAATGAACGCCTTTATGCAGTCAAAATTATTATTTTGAATTTAAGAGAACTTAGTTTTCTGTGAACTATGTTGTCATTTTTATGGGTCACTTCTCATAATGGCACTAATAAACATTAGCATTACTACATCATAGGGCAAGTCCATGGCAGGTGTGATCAGAGTTCGAAGCTAAATCCCACGACGTGTTTAGTAACTTGCTAGCTTACGCACCTGAGCTTCTCTGTTCCCTCTTATTTATCTTTCATTATAAGAGTGAAGCCTCTTTAGTGAGATTTCAAAATAAGATTTCTAAAAACTTCAAATTATTAGTTATTTGCACAAGCCCTACCTAATCACAGAGAAATGGGCCTGTTACAATCCCATCTATGCCTCATGCCCTTTTTACATTTCTTTCCCTTTTCCGGGGTGCAGGTCTGGTCTTGGCAAGAGGGTTAACCTGACAGAGACTGTCTGGTTCACTTACATGTTGCTTCTGTCATCATCCCCACGGAGCTGCATGTCCTTCGACAGCCAAACCTCCATCCAGTCACCTTTGTAACTCCAAGTGTGTCTTCATCCGCCCACCCACTTCCTCTCCTTAGAGCAGTGGCACTCAACCTTTTTGATGCCACAGCCCTTTTCTACAGTTCCTCAGCTGCCTCCTGCACACCCTCCGCTGGGGATCGAGCCCACAGCCCCGCATGTCCCCTCACCAGGAACTGAATCACGGTCTGTGACCTTCTAGAGCACATGTGTCAAACACAAGGCCCGCGGGCCAAATCCGTCCCGCCAGGCCTTGCAATGTGGCCCGCACCGCGCTGTCATCACTGCACTCCGCTGCGTTTCCATCACAATGACAGTTTATGACTGTTCAGTAAACCATTCGGCCCGTGATTTAGGCTGGATTTTAGATTTTGGCCCCTTCTCTGATTGAGTTCGACACCCCTATTCTAGAGCCACACTGGCTGGGAAGGAAATCACACCTTTCATAGTCCAGGTTCTTGAAAAAGCCATCCGTACTTTGGTGCTCATTTCCTCACCTCACATTCACTCTTTAACCCATTCCAACCCACCACCCAGCCCTGAAAAATGCTCTCATTAAAGTAGCCAGTGGATACCTTCTGGGTCCCCAAATCCCTGGATGTTTTTTAGTTTTATCTTCATTGACCTTGAGTCTGATGTTTTCACCTCCTGCCTTCTGGCTGTCCTCCATGGTCTCCTTTGCCTGTGGCTTCCACCACCTCCCCTCAGCCCTTAAGTGCCAGACTCCTGCTCCTTGTAGTAGGGTGTCTCCCTGCATTTCTTACTCTTCACACATGGTAGGCGGTTACTATCCTGATGCTGGTGACATCAGATTGTCATCTCTCCCCTACATCCAAGTGTTTCTGAATAGGTGTCATCCCTCAGATGTCCCTGAGGCACCTCAAAAGCAACATACCTGGAACTTCTGGTAGACTCATCATTCTACCCCCAACCCTGCTCCTCAGTCAGGACTCCACCATCTATCCAATGTTCAAGGCAAAAACCCAGAGTCTTTCTCTTCATCTTCCTACAAATAGCTCACTGTGTCCTGTGGATGTTCACTTCTCAAAGAGCTTTGAAAGTCTGAATCTCTGAGTCTCCCTAGTTTCATTTGACTCCAGTTGGTTTAAGCCTCCATCATCCCTTATCTGCATTCCTGCTACAGATTCCAAAATGGTTCCCCCATCAACCTCCTTCTCTCACTGTACCCACAGGGGCCGCTGCATTTCCCCTGCCAGTCACCGGGCTTGACAGGCTCCTCCATGGCCAGACTGCCCACCCTACAGTCACGCTGAGCTGGAGCCTGGGACAGCCTCACCCCGCCTTAACCTGATTAAAATTAACCCATCCCCCAAGTCTCCACTTGGGTTACTCCTTCTCAACCCAGACTAGTGAAATTGCTGTGCTGTAAGCTGGCACACCATTCTCAATATGTTTCTCATGGCATTATCATTTCTGTTATTGCTGTTCAAGGTCTTCCTTCCCCTGACACCCCCGCCCCTCCTCCAATTAGGGACGCTCATGTGGTGGCAAAAACCAACCTGTGCTGCCATGAAGGGCTTTATGATCTTTATTTGGCTCGCTTAGTATGCCTGGCACATTAGCAGGTGCTTAATACATGTTTCTTAAAGTAAAAATTGAACTCAGATGTGGCTAGTCTCACATTAGTAGGAAAACAATTACCGTATTTTTCGGACCATAAGACGCTCCGGACCATAAGACGCACCAGTTTTTAGAGAAGGGAAATGAAGAAAAAAAGATTCTGAAACAAATAGTGTCCTAAAATATTTTAAAACCCAACATCACAGTCATAAACACATGTAATCAACCCTGTAAAGTAAACAGCAGCATTTAGAACCATTTTAGAGCTGGGCAAGCACACAGAGACCACACAGAGCCGGGCAAGTAAAAAAACTTTTTTTTTAAAGTATATGTGTAGGCTATATTTGGACCATAAGACGCAGGGACTTTTCCCCCCCACTTCTGGGGGGAAAAAAGTGCGTCTTATGGTCCGAAAAATACGGTATGTCAAACTCATTAAAAATAACTCAAGATATGCTTGCCTTTTCAGAAGTTACTTGTTAGGAGAGAGGAAAAAAATGCTAATTTACTGAATTTAATGGAAACAAACCAAGGGGAGTAAAGGCATTTGGCCATTTGATAAAAGGCGTTGGACGTCTACTTGGTTGGTTCTCCCAGCTGCTGAGTTTCCCGCAGATACTCCCACTCAATGTCTAAAAACTGGGGTGTGTGTAGGTGTGTGTGTGTGTGGGGAGGGAGCCATGAGGGGGGGCAGACAGAGAGAGAATAGGAAGTAGTTCTCTCAGCATCCATGCTAAGGGTGGTCAGGGCTCCCCTGTGGGGCTGTAGCCACCAGGTACAACTGGAAGCAGAACCTGCAGGGCTAAATGATCCCGGAGACCCCAGTAGTGGCTCTGACTCCGGCTGATCAGTGAAACTTATGCTAGTGATAGGAACCTCCATGTCTTCCCACGGTTTTAGTATAAAAATGTATGATTGAATCAAGTTCTCATAATAATTTTCCATTTCAATTGACAGCTCTCAACAGTAAAGACTGCCTTTTTTGTTGTTGTTAATCCTCACTCAAGGATATTTTTTTCTTTTTAAAAAATTTATTTTTAATTTAAAAAATTTTTATTGTTGAAGGTATTACCTATGTCCACTCCCCTCCCATTAACCCCTAATTGTCCTGCCCCAGGCTTTCACCACCTCATTGTCCTTGTCCATGGGTTATGCATATGTACATACAAGGTCTTTGGTTGATTACCTCCTAAGCAGGGCCAGGGATTAAACCTGCAACTCAAGTATGTGCCCTTGACTAGGAATCGAACCTGTGACCCTTCCATGTACAGGCTGACACTCTAACCACTTAGCCACACAGGTCATGTGGTAAGACTGTCTTTTTGAATAATGGCATCATTCAGGCACCCCATTTGACTTATGGTGACTTATGTGAGCCACTGACTCTACTGAATTTCTTATTTGTTCCTTTTGAAAATGGAATAATAATGTATTTTATATGTTTGTCTCTGTGCAAATATGTCTTAGGGCCTTAAGATACTATGTAAATAACAATGTGCAGCAAATATATAATAGATGTTGCAAAAATGATTTACTATCATCATTTATTCTACATAGTGTGAAAGTTTATATTTTCTCAGCAGAACTATTAATATGTGTGATTATGAGATGCTGCCCCAGATCCTGCTAGGGGAGTGTTAGTAACATATGGCACAGGCACTATAATAACTTACAAACATCTAAATTGAGAAATTCTAAATTTTGAACACGTCTGCCTCAAAATGTTTCACCAGGGAGTGTGGGCCCTGTCTCTTAAGGCACAAAGGCACAAAATATATTTAAGGCAAAGTTAGAATTAATAAGAAAAGGTATAAATTCATATTTACTTAGTATTTTTTTGGGGGGGGGCGCTAATAAAAATAATGTAGAGTTAATAGTTTTTTGATAATTTAAAATTTTTGGCCATATTGTGTCTCTGATTAGTTGGGGTTACTTTTCCTTCATAATGACTTAACAATAGCTTTTAACCAAGAATAGAAGTAATTATCTCTAATATTTTGTTCTTATTTTCAGGTGCTTGAAATAATAGTATTATTTTTACTTCTTTCCAGAATCTTCTTAAGCCACTTGTCTACTTTGTGAGTTAGTTTACCTAAAATTAGAAATTACAGTTTAAAATTTTCCTATGAGCACTGCTGTGTGCTTTAATACTCGAATTCTCTGAAAACGAATGAGCCAGCAAACCCTTTCACCCAGTGGAACTCCTCTTCTTCGGGATTCCTTTACGATATCTGACAGTGTTTGTGACCATCTAGCATTAAAAAACTCACATTGTTATGATTGTTGTCCTAAGTGCTTTATGAATGTCAACCCATTTAATTCACATAACAACCCTATGAGTTAGGTTTCTTATATTGTCAATTTTATAGGTGAAGAAATGGCACAGAAAGATTAAATAATTTGCCTAACATCTGTGCCGCTTCAACACAGCCAAGGGTTCGGCGAGTCTAAGGGAGGGTGGTGAATATAATAAGCTGGGTCTAGGTGGATCTTCTGTGCCTGGCTGAGGCCACAGAACAGATCCAGACTGCAAGCTGATGCTTTATTTATTTATTTATTTATTATTTGATGCTTTATGTATAGTCTGGGACAAACAAGGTAAATTTACAATGTTGTTGTAAGTTTCACTTGTTTTGGCAGCATTTGCTGCTCCTCCCAACAGCCCATTAGCTACTTAGGAAAGATCTAGGGAACAGTCACAAGATCAAGCTTCATTATGCTAAGAGGGCTGTGCCCTCCAAGCTGGGACTTGTTTGGGACTTTGCCAGCAGGTCAGTCCGAGGCTTAACCCTATAACCGCTCCCTATGAGCATCAATGGTGGCTAAGTGGCTTAGACTAGCTTGAGACTTCGCTTTTCCGCTAT